CCCCCCCCCCCCCGGGGGGCCGCCCCCCCGGGGGGGGGGGGGGGGGGGGGGACGGCAGCAGCAGCTTGTACTGGGCTCCTGTACGCATGGCTGCAGTAAAGCTAGATGCGATACCTTCAGCTTCCACCACCATCCCCATGTTGCTCTTCACCGCTTGACCTCTTATCACATCAGTCGATGCCCCTCCTTCTCTTCGTGCAGGATACGGAAGTGGACCGTGCTCAGCTCCCCGCACGTGAACAAGGATGCACGGGAGCAGTTCGAGCAGCGCACCCACTCCCGCCTCCTCGACGTCAAGAACCTGTCTGCCGAGACTGTGGACAAGCTCATGCAGCTGGAGATCCCCGCGGGCGTGAACATCGACGTCAAGCTCTGATGTGTGCCGTGCAAGGGTAACAGACTCCACAGTGGTTGCCTCAGGCAGTGGTGTCAAAGATACAAGGAAGTAAGGGGTTGTGAGCATGGGCTCCATTCAGGGGAAGGGGGACTGAGGAGCGCTCATCCCGTCATCCTAGTGTACAATTTTGCGCGGGGGGGTGGGGGGTGTGTGTGTGCAAGGATGGGATCCGAAAGGTGTGCCTCAAAGGGTACCGAGACTCCTCCTCTCCCTAGCCGGCTCTCCGCTTGCGCTTGTCAGGCGTGCCTATCGCTGCCTTCCTCTTCCGGCCCCCCGCATCAGCTCCACCCCTCCGCTTCGCCGGCCCAGCGGCTCCAGCCCTCTGCTTTTTGGGGGCAGGGACGGTGATCGTTGGCTCCTCCTCCAGCTCGTCCTCATCCTCGGCTGCCCCAGGCTCCTGTGCGGTGACCAGGTTAGAGTATTTAGCTGCAGAGTAGATGGCGCGGCATGGCAGAGTGCGAGTCATGCACTGCACAGGCACTCCGAAACCTCGCAGGGCGGATTCCATGGCTGGACGGCGCAGGCACAAGCAGCCCTCTCTGAAGCCAACAGCATGTCTAAGCATGTCTCGAGTACTGCATGCATTCCGCACCACCCAACACTGTGACGCAAACCAACATACCTGTATGCTCTGGAGGACGGCCTCCCAGCTCAGCCCGCCCTCGCCATACCCTGCCTCCGCGTCGTCGTCGTCGTCAGACGCCGCGGGGGCCTCGCCTTCGGCCCCCGCGGCCGCCTCTTCCCCATTGTGCTCCTCTTCCTCCTCGCTGCCGTCAGAGGCGTCGCCCTCCGAGTCATCGCCGCTCAGGTCCTGGCCGCCCTCCCCCCCGTCCTCGGGGGAGAAGAAGGCATGGCGCACGGGGATGGCCCCCGCCCGTTGCGCCTGGATCTCCTCGGCCGCGGCCGCCGTCAGCGCGCGCGCCGCAGCCGCTGCCTTGATTGGGTCCCCGTCGGGGACGGCGGCGGCGTCCTCCTCCGTCACACCGCCCACGACCAGCGCGTCGTCGTCCTCCTCCTCCTGCTCCGCCGCCAGTGCCGCGGCGGCGTCGCCCTCCACCCCGTCCCGCTCGTCCACGTGGTCTGGGGGCAGGGAGAAGAAGGGGATCCGCCCGCGCTGCCAGTCCAGGAGCACCATCTTGGCCACAGTGTTCAGGTCGGGCTCGCCACCCTTGTTCAGCTTCCCCGCGGCGCGCGCCAGCTGTGACAGGAAGTCCTCCGCGTCCTCCCAGGCCTCCAGCTTGTAGGCGCGGCGCAGGTACTGCGGCTTCACCCGCGCCAGCACCTCGCCCACGTGGTCGGCGGCCTCCTCCAGGCTCTCCACGCGCACCACGCCCTTGAGGATGGCATCCGACTCGGTGTCCGTGGTGCCGTTGTACACGACGCCGGGGCAGTCGATGAGGAAGATCTTCTTGGTCAGCGTGATGTACTGCCAGACCTTGGTCTCGCCGGGGACGGGGGCCACCTTGCACACCTTTTTGGAGCGCAGCGTGTTGATCACCGAGGACTTGCCCACGTTGGGGTAGCCCACCAGGCCCACCGAGATGTACTGCTTGTCGCTGCGCAGGCGGGACAGCTGGCGCAGCAGGCCCAGCAGGCTGCCCTTGCCAAAGGGGTTGGTCACCGAGGCGTGGAAGGCCAGCGTGGGGAACTCCTTGGACAGCGTGTGCAGCCAGCGCTTAGTGACCCAGGCGGGGACCTGTGGGGAGGAGGGGGGGGTGGGGGGTGGGGGGGGGGTTCAGTGGGTCCATGAAATGAGGGTTGCCACTGAGACGCGAGGATTAGGTGGGTGGCGGACTGCATACACGAGCCTAAGGTCATGGTATGAGAGCAGAACGTCACCCGCAGTGCAGCCGAGGGGGGCGATGCGGTGGAAGCGGTGCACTGCTCGAATTCCCCCCCCTGCCACACCCTGATCGGGCACACATAAACTTCAGGCACCCCGGTAACAAGGCCTCAGGACTGTAAGGATATGCTTTCATCGTCACTGTTCATCAGATGGTACGGACAAGCAAGTGTGTTCCTCATCGGCCATGGGAGATATGTGAGGAGAGCTGCTTTGCCCCAGCCATCCCAACATCCCCAGGCCCTCCATCCGCTCGCTCACCAGGTCACACTTGTTGAGCAGCAGGATCATGTGCTTGTGCCGCGCATTCTTCTTCAGGTGCTGCTCCAGGAAGCGGCAGCGTGTGCCCAGCGGGTCCCGTGCGTCGATCACCTGCCGCAGTGTTCGAGCAAGTATCGATCAGGAGGGAGGCTCGCAGGCCAGCATCTCGCCCATGGGCGCTCAGACGGCGCATGCGCTCACAGCATGCGCCGCCCCTCAAGTGTGTGGGCCTCAGACACGAAACAAATGCCTTCATCGTCACTGAATATCAGATGGTACGGACAAGCAAGGGTGATCATCGCCGGCCACAGCACTGAGAAGGGAGGGGGGTGGGATGCAGCTCGACGCCAGGGGAAACCCCAGCACAGCCCCACAGCACAGCCCAGACCTGGATGACGACGTCTGAGGAGTCGAGGACCTTGTACAGCTCGCCCCAGATGCGCTTGGACTGGCCCTTGAAGAAGACGGACTCCTGGGCTGCAGGCCGGATGTCGGCAAAGGGGTCGGAGGGACCAACAGCGTCGGCCTTGCTCGTGAAACTGGGCGGAGAAGGTTGGGTATCGAGTCAACGAGTGGGCTGGAAATGGGTGGAGGGTGCTGCAGCTGGGGTGGCGACCCCTTTCACCAGTCAGCGCAAGGGGGCTTGGTGGCATATCGGTGCTTGGCCTGTCCAGCCCGTTCCCAGGAAACAGAGGCCAACCGCCCAGCCACAAGTGTACACTCACCTCCCCTCCACAGTCTCGGCGCGGTCCAACAGACCCTGGTAGCTCTCTGCCGAGAGCTTTGGCTTCTTCCGCCGCTGCTTCTTCCCAAAGGTGTCGGCAAAGGGCTGAGTCGCCACCAGCCCATTACGGGCAGCCCTGCCTGCGGTGCGTACAGAGGTGTCATCCTTGCAGTGTGTGCTGGTTGTTGAGCAGCGGAGTGGATTCTCAGGTGAGTACCCAGATCTGTTGGATGCTGGGGTTCATTCACAAGGCATCCGTCAATCGTCAAACCCAACTCCCGAGGAAAGAAGGCAAGAGGAGCAGCCCCAGAGTGTCGCCCCAGGGCACGCTGGTGTCCACGAAAACACAACCCACCGGCAAAATTTGTGGAAGGGTCGCTGAGGAGCGAAAGTGGGAGCTTCTTCTCCTTGACGAGGACGGTGAAGGGGTCGGCCACCTTGGCCGCCATTTCCTCACGGAACACCTCGAGCTGCTTCTGGCCAATGACACGCGTATTGCCAAACCAGCGGCGGTCTGGCTGGATGCGGGTGCTGGGCAGCTCCTTGCTTTGCAGCTCCTGCATCGAGCAGCCGGCGAGAGGTGGATGGGGTAGGGAGCGAGTGGCCAACGCACACCCTCCTCCCATACACGGTATGCTGAGAGCTTGCAGCTGTGTCCACACATGCAGTCTCGTGGCATCTGGCGCATCCAACCCCCTTCCTCATGTGCAACTCACGTGCGAGATGATTTTTCCATCCTTGTTGCGGTTCGGCCGTGTCTTGTACATGGCCAGACGGCGCACCTGCGCGCAAGGGGCAGCAAGGCGCCATGCTCGAGTCTAAGAAGACCACAAAATTAGCATGCCACGAGCACTCTCCCTGGTGCATGCAGGCTCGGCGGACCCCCTCACCGTGCTGGCGCTCCGCATGCCGTCCTTGCTGACGGAGTTGGCGCGGTTCTTGTCATTGGAGTGTTTGGGGTTGGACTTGGGGGTCCCCGCCTTGTTGCTTCCCTTGGCCATTGCGTGCGCAAAGGCACGAGGGCCTGCTAAGGACTAGGAGCACGAGTGAGGGGTGGCCCTCCCCGAACGAGAGCTATGAGGGACAGAGACGCGGCATGCAATGCAGGTACTTGAATACCTAGCTATGAGTTTGACGAGGAGAGAGTTCAGCTGATGCTGAACGTAAACATTGTGTACGCATGCCCAGGCGCGCACTCCCCAGCGAGCCGCCCGCGCGGGTGTGACCGCCGGCGGCAAACAAAAATTCAGGACGGTAGAATCTCAGGATCCGTTCCAGGACACTGACCGACACTATGCATCTAGCATTCAATCAAACATTCCCATGCACATCCCAAGAAAAGACAAAATGATCACTCGGCAGTCGCCTCCACTTTCATGACAGATGCTCAGATCTGCTTGTTACACCGTCTCTTCCTCCTCCTCCATGCGACCCCACCCTCCAAGGCCGCTGCCCCCGCTGCCCAGTACACGCAACTTGCATGCTGACCAGAGAGCGCTGCGGTTGCCATGGCGAGGGCCTGCAGGTGGCCCAGCAGCGCTGTCTGCTGCAGCGGCAGCCGGCCCGCCGCACAGGCTCGCAGTCCCAGCAAGGTCAGCGCTGCTGAGCTGGCGTCCAGGGGCGTCGCGGCCCAGTTGCCGCCCAGGCCCCAGCCCGCCAGCTGCGCCGCGGGGGCCAGCGCCGAGGCCGCCAGGTGCGCCAGGCGCTGCGGCTCCGAGGTTCCACATGCCGCCCAGCCGAGGCCCAGGACCGGGGGCAGGCTGCGGTGGACCAGGCAGCTGCCAGCGATGAGGGCCCAGACCAGGGGCGGCGCCGCGGCTGGATGGCGAGCGGGTCCTGGCGCCCGTGCAGCATCAGCATTCTCGACCTCTCCGCCGCCTCGTTTGGCCTGAACGAGTGCCAGCCCCATCGCCTCGCTCGCTGCCCCAACAAGCATGCCCCTGTGCTTGCAAGCCTGTACGAGGATGCTGGCCATGCCCTGGGCGAGGAAAAGCAGCCCCACAGCCTCCAACCAGGATCCAGACTGGGAGCTGATTGCCAGGAGCGCTGCCAGGTTCAGAGGGTGAGGGCCCATCTCCGTACCCGCACCCGGCACCGTGCAGGCCATCAGCAGGGCAGGGAGGGCAGCAGCTCGGGCATGCAGGCGCGCCGCCAGCCACGCCAGCACGTCCCACTCCAGCCTGGGTGCAAGGGATCGTGGGAATCTCGAGTCAGAAGCAGGATACTCGGCCAAAGGATGGTCCACAATGCACTTGCTGTCACGCCTCCAGCCGCTACTCCTGCTCCTTGCATGCATGATGTGGGTATCACAAGCGCACCCAGCACGCCCAGCGCGGTGTCCGCCACACCAGCCTCGCATGCGCGGACCTGAGCTCCAAACGGCAGAGCGGGTCGCTCAGGACCACCCACTGCCGGGCTACGTGTCGGCCGCGGCGGCCCCGCCCCGCCACAGCTGCACCCGGGGCTGCCCATCGTGGCGAATGGCGGCTGAGTTGGTCCACCCGCCAGATTCCGGCGCCTGGCCAAGGAGCAGCGGGCCGCCGCAGGCGGCCTGCTCCTCTCCCTCCTGAGTCCCCCATGGGGAGTCTCCATCCGGCACTTGCCTTCCCAGGACCCGCCAGGGAAGAATGCCCGGGCCGAATGCCGAGGGAAGGCGGGCTACCAGGCCGTGGCTGGGCATGACAAGGGCATGCATGAAAGGGTGGCCAGGCGGCAGGGCCAAGGTAGACCCTGGACGCAGCACGAGCTCGGGCAGGACCAGTCTGCTCGCTTCACACCCCGCAGCCGCCGCCGAGGGAGGGCGGAGGCACAGCTGGCAAGCCAGCTGCCAGGGAACAAAGGTTGATCTAGACCGGTTGCCGTGGGCATGGAGCGTTACCTCTTCCCCGCTGTTCACATCAAGGCTGAGGAGGTGCGTGGCGTTTGCCAGCCAGTCCACGCCCGCCATGATCTCTTGCCATGGCCTGATGATGGGGGCGGCAGGCATGCACAAAGGTGAGAACGAGTGCGCGCGGCAGCACTCAAGAGCTGTGGGATCGCACCAGTATCTGGGTGTCAAGGAGCATCAATTGACAGAGATCCCTTCCTTTTTTTCAGAACAATGCCCTCCTCCCCTACAATCCATCAAAGCCCGTCGCCTGCTGACCTGGCGCTGCTCCGGTCTGTCTGGCCCCGCCAGGGTGGCAGAGGGAAGGCTCCCTTCTCCAGGTCCACAGGCCTGCCACCGACCGTGACAGCCCAGGTCCCCTGCCCGCCCAGCGCCGGCAGCAGGAGCAGATGCCGCACGCGCTGCTGCCCTGGAGCGGGCCATGTCTTCCTGCTTGATGCCACATGCCCGGCAGCCTCCCAGGCCCCCGAGGGACGCTGCCTGCCCAGGTGTGTGCAGTCATGCGGCGCCACGGCCTGCTCCGTCGCAGCGGTCAGCCCCAGAAAGGTGGCCGTCATCGTGGGCATGAGGCGCCGCTGGAGCACAGCTCGGACGCACGCTGAGTCAGCGCAGTGCAGGGCGTCGACGATGCCGCCGGCCAGCCGGCAGACCAGCTGGTTGCAGGAAAGGATGGACTGCGGTGGCGGGGTGGGGCTGGGTCTCAGGCTGGCTGCTCCAGGCTGGCCTGGGTGGTTGTCTGGGGTGACCAGACCATGCCATTTGTGCAGTGTCCTCGAGCGGAAAGTTACTGGCGCTGGGACATGGGCACTGCAACCTACAGGGCCTCAGGCACAGCAAGGCTTCCCCCCGTGCGCTCAGAGACCTCAACCCCACGCTCGCGGACCTTGTGACTGCCGCCGGTCCAGACCCCGGGCACGTCCTGCATCAGCACACGAGGTGGGCCCGCCCCCTGCGACCCCGGATTCAGACCCAGCGTATCGGGGATGAGCCCGTCGCCCTTCCCAGGCACGACGCCCAGGCTCGGCACGTGGCCGAGACCCGGGCCGCCGCCGCGCAGGAGTCTCCCCGTCCCCGGCGAGGGCAGGAGGGCCGGGAAGGCGCGCGTTCCTGGTTCGGCGAGGCGGAGGAAGGCCCTGATGCTGGGTAGGAGGGGGTCCTGGTCGGAGGCCATGCGGCTCAGCAGGGCCTGCGCCGTCAGCACGCCCATGCTATACCCCACCAGCACCACGCCGCCCGAGGGGCTGGGGTTGCGGGGCTGGAGGTACTGCAGGCAGTCGTACAGGTACTGAGACTGTGGCACCAGCAGCGAGTGGTCCAGGGCCGAGGCCTCTCGGCCAAAGTCAGGCGCCAGCCACCGCACGGGCAGCTCCCCGCCGCCCGCCCGCCAGCGCTTCACTAGCTCCCTGCCGGTCTGAGAGGCCAGGGACCGCATCTGCTCCGGGGTGCCCAGGTGCCCATGCACGAAGATCACGGTGTGGAGTATGCTGCCATTGTATCCCAATCGGCCTGGGAACAGGCAGGGATGAGGAACTCCTGGAGAGCTTATTCCATTAGCAAATCAACAGCGTTTTAGAGAGGGTGAGGCCATGAGAACCCCCCGCACACCATCTTCTGGGCTCAGAATTAAACACTCCCCCACCTTGTGCCTCCTCAGTGGGGTTGTCCACGTATCTGATCAGGCGGTACCCCCGCTGCTGGCCCACATTCGAAGGAAGCAAAATTTCTTCATAGGCCTGCCATAGGTACGTTGTTTCACATGCCGATGGGGCGAGCGCATCCCTCGCGGTGTGCAGGGAGACGATGGCCAGTATAGCCCACCAGCCCACCCACCAGGCCCGTCGGAGCCCAAGGCACGCCCTCGACATGACTGAGACCCTAGCATTCGATACACGTCGGAGGGTTTTGATCTGGGGAACCAACATGCTCCAGCATCCCTGTGTCGGCAGGGGTGCTCAGATCACACTGGGCCTGGCACAGCGGGGTTCCGTCATTTTCGAAAGGTCGCGCCCTGGGAGGAAACTGCCGAGCCGCAGGCGCACAAGCTTCCCTGCTTAGCTGGACCCCGCAACGTTTCGAATTCGTTCCAAACACCCCGTTTGACCCCCACCGCAAGGGCATCTGCTCACAAACCTACGCCACTCAGCATCGGTTGGGTCTCCCTGCCATGACCAGCCACGGTCCGGGCACGCTGCCGGAGATTCCCAGCAACAGCGCCGCCCTGGGGGAGGAGGACGAGCCCCCCACTTTCTCCCCTCGCTCCCTGGCGGTGCAGCGGGGCATCCTGGCCGAGGCCGTGGGTGCTCTGGGTAGTCAAGACTTTGCGGCGGCGCTGAGCGCCCAGGGGGACAGCGTCAGTGACGACAGTGACTGGGAATATGAGCTGGAGAATTTCGACCAGGTTCGTGGTCCTGGGCTCCTCGCACTAAACATAGCGCATGCAGGTGGGAGGGTCGCACCCAGTGCATGCGCACCGCCCCCCTGCTGCCTGCATGTGGCTCGCCACCGGACTGCATGCCCCTGGCTGGGGTCTGGCAAGCCCAGCCTCAGGGCCTCACCCTGCGCTCCTTTCACCTCCGCAGATCAACATCAAGCACCTGATCAGGGCGGAGCTGAAGGACACGGTGCGCAAGATGATCGCAAAGCAGAAGAGCCCCGCCCGGACGCTGATGCGCGACAAGCTCATCTTCGTGGTCTGCACCGTCGACCTCTACCTCTCCGCATACTGGCTTGGATGCTAGTGAGTGCCTGGGGTCTGTAGGGGTGTTGGACGGTCTGATGCCCTGTCCATGCCAGTCAGACTGCATTGGGACAAGGGGTTGATATTGAGAATGGCTGGGGCACCTGGAGCGGGATTTGTTACCCTAACCCGATGCCCAACCCACCTCCACATCATGCAGTCCCCAGTCCTTCTACCAGCTGTACACTGTGAAGGCAGCCGTCCTCTTCTGCATACGCTGGGTGGTGTACCGCTATAAGCGCTGGCACTACTTCCTCTTTGACCTCTGCTATGCAGCCCAGGTGGTCCTCCTCATACAGCTCTGGCTCTTCCCCACCAGCATCGCATGGATCAAGGTGAGAGCATGGATGGCAGCCAGGGCCATGATGGATTGGGGATGGAGTGCGGCTTGTGGGTAACAGAGGGGCTCTCGTGGCCCGAGCACCGCAGGCCCCATGGCAGCCCACTCGATTCGCACCTGGCTGCTGCGTATCCCAGTCCCTAAGCTCCCTCCCGCACCCTCTCCTCCTGGATCCGACAGGTCACGTTTGCACTAAATCTGGGGCCCCTCGTGTGGAGCATCGTGGCCTTCCGCAACAGTCTGGTGCCACACTCCCTCGACAAGATGACGTCGCACTTCCTGTGAGCATTGCCATCTGAGTTTCCTGGTCGTGAGACTGAGTGACCCGGGGTAGCTTCGTGGAGTTCCTGTCCTCTCTACCCTTGGCAGCAGGAGTTGGCGCTTCAGCAGCCCCGTTGATTCCTTGCCCACACCACCAAGCGCAGGCACTGGTTCCCGGCCTGCGTCAGCTATGCGGCACGCTGGCACCCCCCCTCCCAGGTGGTGGATTACCTGGCCTCTTCCGCGGAGGCCCGCAGTGCCTGGGAGTCCACCAGCCTGCGTGAGCTATTCTTCCTCCCCCTGGTCCCCTACCTCATCTGGGCGGTCCTCTACTACCTCAAGGTGCCTTGGAGGGTGTGAGAGGCAACCATGTACTCCAGCTGCTGCGGTGGTTGCCTGGGATGCTGTCTGAAGGCACCCCTGATCTCTTGTGTAGTATCAGGGCAGGGAGCAGGTTTTCAACCTCTCGGTGGGCAAGTGGCCTCACTGATTTCCATCCCAGCGTCAGCAAACGAGTACGTCCTTCCACCCCGTCCTCGCATCTCCTTGGTGCAGGTGTTTGTCATCAGCTCCAGCAGGATAGAGCAGCGGGGCTACGAAACCCTGTTCAAGTGAGGGCCGGGATGTTTTGCACCCGCTGGGATCTCATGGCCGTCGGTGCTTGCAGCGGAGCGGGCCGGGGCTTCCTCCCCACGATGCAGGCCAGGCTCCTGGGTCAAGGGGGGAGTCACCCCGCCATGCAACCACCAGCACAAATTTAGAATCCCGCAATGCCTCGCGCCCGCAGGTTTGCGACCTCCAACCGCCGCAGCCTGTTCGGCGCGGTGGTGCTACGCTTTCCTCACGCGCTGCAGCCCGCCGTGTACATGGCTATGCACGTGGGCCTCTGCGCCGCGACCCTGGTGCTGACCTCCGTCTGGTGGCGGTACCAGCTGGCCTGCGAGGCCTTCCTGGTGATCCAGTTCACCGCCTCGGCCTGGAGCGGTGAGGCCCGGGGCTGTCCAGAGGGGTCCTGACGAGCTGTTGTGCGACCCTGTGCCCTGCCGCTTGACTGGGCAAGGAAGGTGCTCGCATCCCCACCCGCACACTCCCACCCAACCCAGGAGCGACGTTCTACTTTGACGTGTTCTCGAGGAAGTACATTGCCGGGCTGGGCGCCAGCTCAAAGGGCAGCGGGGGCGATCTGAAAACTGGGGCGGCCCGGCAGCACGACGCAGACGGGCACCCGGCGCAACCGCCAATGTAGCATTGCCCAGGATGAGTGAATGGCAAGGGAACCTTCCCAAAGCGTCCTGGCCTCCCCTGTACCAACACTTGAAGCTCTCCACCCGGAACTGCACCTCCTTGCACTTTTGTTGCTCTCTCCAAGCATAAACCCCTTCTGGCACTTGGGAAATCGAATTTGGAAATGGAAGTTGGGAGAGTGCCAGTCAGTCATGGGGGAGGGGCCGGCAAACCTCATTTCACATTTGGGCGGACCTAGACCCTGGTACTGAGCACCACGGCTTCGAACACCGGGATGCCGGGCGGAGTTAAACCCTGCTGCGCCGGGAGAGGATCTTAGAACGTGCCCGACAGCTAGTGAAACCTGGGTATCATAGTGTTGACGACAAGTTCCCAGAACGCGGCCCACCAAGGACTCGAGGAGCTGCGCACGCGAGTACACCTCGGGGTGTTATGGTGAGCCCCGGAGCTTGCCTTGCTCACAACATGTATGGGCATGCGTGAGGCCCTCTCATGGCACGCCCTCGCCTCGTGTGCAGCCCAAGGACGCAAAGGCCGATATCCTCACGAAGGGCACCAAGATCAAGCCCAAGAAGGATCCTCGCACCCCGAAGAAGCCGTCTGGCGCATGTGAGCATGGTGTTCAAGACTGTGTAGCTGGCCTCGCAGATCCAGGCCTCTCTTCCCCATCGTGTACGAGAAGCACCGCAAATCCCGGCAACGCAGACATACACTACTGCAAGGACAAGCGTGAGCTCCTCAAACAGGAGCACCCCAGCCTCAGCCTGGGAGATATGGGAAGGGAGATGGGGAAGCGGTGGCAAGAGGAGACCATGGAGGTCAAGAAGGTCGGTGTGCGTCATGCTTTCCGCCATGGGTGGGGGATTGAGTTTGCTTCTCAGGGACGATTGTCAGTGTCGGGCTGGAGAGGAAAGCTCCTGATTAAGGTAACGCACGCTGCATGCACCAAAAGTGATTGTGGGCTGTACAATGACGCCCATGGCTTGCGCATGACACAATTCCTTGGAGCCATGTCTGAACAAATCACAGCCTCTCTAAGCACATGCACTCCTTGGCTGCAGCCCTACTTTGACATGGCGGCGCGAGACAAGGCGAGGTATGAACGGGAGCTGGCGGCTTACAACCAGTCTCTCAGCACATAGAGCACCGCTGGTGCTCCTTTCACGGGTACTCCCGCCCCAGCACACACTCGCTCCACGGTCCTTCAGCTGAACTTGTATTCCAGATCCACGTGTTTGCACTCAAAGCACAGGTATTGATGCTCTGGCCTGGTATAATGGACTCACCCAGCAGCCGCTCCCCTCCCATGATCCTCCTTCCCAACGTGAGCCCAGGTTGTTGCACCAGAAATGTACAAGCTGAGATGACAAGCAGGCAGGCCTCTTTGGGGAGGGCAAGGATCCTTGGCTCATCGCAGCTCTACTTTCAGCTGGTTCTCAATGTCGCTGCGGTTGAGGAAGAGGGATTTCCCTTCTGAGTATCCTCTATCGTGTGCCACAAGCCTCAGGCGTTCAGCACCACGACCTTCAACAGCCCTCGACCGACTCCCAAACACTCATCCTCCTCACCGGCGGACGGTCCACTGGAGCTCATTGATCTCCTCGTCTGTGAGGCTGCGCTGCATGGAGCGGTATGCAATGCGGTAGCAGTGGCTCGTCTTGCCCTGGGGGTGTCAGGAGGTCGAGGGAATGGGGTGTGTGGATGTCCATGCTCAAATCGCCACCGCAGCCCAGTCGGGTCTCGCAGTACCCATCCACGAGTGGATTGACACCTCAAGCGACCACGCGTGGCTGGCATGCTCCCAGGGACAGCTGTGCTCCTGAAACGCAGCCCCCAGCGAACTCAACCACCCACCGTCTTTGGGTGTGTGAAGCTGTCGATGAGCTTCACCTCCTCCACGAGGTCCCCCGCCACGGCACGCACCACCTCGCACAGGTTGTTCTCGGTGAAGCTGTCGCTCAGCCAGAATGCCACGTCCTTGAAGCAGGGCGGGTACTTGCTGTAGGGCTTGAACCTGGGCGTGCGGGGCGCGAGGGAGGGGGGGGGTGAGGGAGAGAGGCTGTCCAGGCGATTCGTGCGCTTGCCTCGCTGCACCACCCACTTTGTCTTCATGCTGCCGGCCTTGAACTGGGACAGGAAGCGCGAGTCCTCCGTCCAGAACAGCCGGATGTCTGGGATGTCAAACAGGACCATGGCCAGACGCTCCAGACCAAGGCTGCAAAGGAAAGCAGGAAGAGCTGGCTCGGTACTGTGGGTGGAGCAGGGGTCCCAGCATGCCTCGCTGCTTGGGATGCCGAGCGTACCCACAACAGCCGATGGGGGGGCCTTCTTTGCCAGGCCAAGCAGATGATGCCCTGTGGGTCCTGACACTGCAACCCCATGCAACAAGTTGCCACCGCTTCAGCACAGATGCCGTCCTGTTCCTCCTGCACTCCCGGAATGACCAGGGTGCTCACCCGAATGCCCAGGCCTTGCGGCCTGCAAAACCTCCGTCATCCACGATGGACTGCTGGGTGACGCCGCACCCCAGCACCTCCAGCCACTCCCCCTTGAACAGAATCTCCAGCTCGAAAGAGGGCTCGGTGAAGGGGAAGTAGGCATCCACCCACCGCATCTCCACAGAACCTGCACAAACAAGGGGGCGGGGGGGGATTTGCAGCCACCGGTGGGCATGGGGGAACGTCTCAGAGAGCAGGAGCCGTGACTGGCGTGCAGGCCTTCCAGAGCTCAGGATGGTCAGGCATGCCTATCAGGAGGGCCTATTGCCCTCTGCTCTCAATCCTCCTCCATGCCAAACAATCTGTCCCACCCTTGCTCTCACCAAAGAGGTGCTGGGCAAGGCCCTCCAGGGTCTGCTTGAGCTGCGTCTCTGCATACTGGGTGGGCTCCATGGAGCCCCAGTCCTCTGGACCCAGCACTCGCAGCCCCTCCATCTGGTGGAACACCGGGTAGTGCGTCGAGTCGATGCTGTCTCGCCTGCAGCAGTGCACGTGTGGGGGTGAGTGGCACGGCTGCCACGGAACGGGACGGGGTGGGAGCTCCACCTGGTGTGAGCCCTAGATGGCCGAGGATTGACAAGACCACGCTTCACAGCCTACTTGATCACGCCAAATTTGAATGCCAGGCTGAGGTTTTGCACCCAGGAGCCTTCAGTTCTCCAGCGGGAGAGGCACTGTCCCGGATTCCGGCCCCTCTCCCACTGTCCCGCCTTCCTGTGCACCCACTCCCAAGCCCTTTGCCACCCACCGGTACACATCGCCGGTGATGAGGAAGGCGGGCTCCCCGCGCTTCAGCAGCTCCAGCTGGTGTGCAGAGGTGTGGCAGCGCAGCACGGTGGCATCGCTCACGTAGTACGTGTCGTTGGGGTTGCGGGAGACGTGGTCGGCGGGCACCAAGACATCATCAAAGTTCTGGCCGATGGAAGGGGGGGAGCGGGGGCAATTGGTATGCATGATCGGAGAGCGTGTGCCAGGAGCCTGGCCCTGTCGCAAGGTGGGAGGAGGAGCCAGCCAGCAGCCACGGCCTGGTACAGGAGGGTGCCCCCCCATGTCCAGCCCGTGAGGCAGGAGCCACGCACCGCCTTGACCGTGACCACGGGGTACAGGTCATCAAAGGTCTTCAGGGCGGGGTCCGCCTTCTGGAGGTACTCGTAGATGGAAGTCTTGATGATGCCGAGCGGGTGGGATGGCCGTCTGGGGAAAAACAGAGTGAGGGTGTGGGGAGGGGTGAGGGTGAGCAGAACAGATCGGCATGACCACCAACTCCGTGAACAGCACGAAGTCACTCTGTTCACAGTCCTTCACTACATCTGTGAACACCATTGATGGGCAGCAAGTAACAGGGCACTTAGACCCCAGGAAGCTCACTGGTGGAGATTGACGCCCAACTTCTCATAGATGCTCTCGGGGACGTTGTTGGAGGGATGGTCTGTGAGTATCTCTGCATTGGAGGAGGGGCTCGTGGCAAGCCCTCAGCCTCACAGGGCAGGTTTGGGGAGGCTTGACTACACACCAGCGCATCTCAGGGCCAGCAGAATGAGCATGGTACTGTACTCGTGGCCTGCGTGGCGCAGGCAGGGACTCACCAGAGCGTGGAGGGCGAGCACACCCCCTCTCCGCGGGTGTGCTAACACTGGGTTCTGCCGCGGCTGCTGAGGCGCAAATGGGCCCTGCACCCGTCACGAATCCTGCAGGACAAGGAAAGCTATCCAGGTTACCCTCTATTGGAGGCTACAGAATGGGCGGCAAGACAGGATCACTTACCTCGCGAGGGGAGGTGACGAGGCGTGGGTGCCGAAGGGAGGAACTGGCCACTCCTGATCGCGCAGGACGCCCAGGGCGCTGATACTGCGCTGGGGAGTGGCGCGGATGATGGAGCAGACGTATTTTGGAAGCCTGTACCCCTCAAACATGCGCACGCACTGCTCACCCACTCGCAAGCTCCTGGTGAGTGCTGCGACAGTGCCATACCGGAAGGTACAACACCCCGCCATGCTATCGGCAGAGCTTTACAAATATTAATATCAATACAATTTCAAAAACGATGTTTACTCCCAAATTTTCCAGGTTTGCATGCATGGACCGAGTCGCTGGAATATTGCTTGGTGGTCACCCTCCCGAAACTCTATCCGGGGAGTACCGTTCTTTCACCACATTATCGCCCCCCTGGGACAAGTCACAACTCGCACTTCAAATAACATGTTACCCTCAAGCATTGCTGAAAAAGCTTTTCCTGTGACTTCAAGTGCTTGTTCGCCTTGCGAGACCCCTTCGTTTGGTTGATAGATTTTCGAACTTTACAGGGACATGGCAAGTCCTGTCGGGGTGCGAACGCGCCGCACGCGGCACATTGTTGTGTCTAAATATCATTGTAAGGGTAAAGTATCGAGTGAAAGGTAGATGGAGTACTGCCTGCAACTGTTGGTCGTGCCCGGGGCGTCCCCCCGTTGAGGCCTCCAGCGACACAAGGAGGGGTGCCAGAGGAGGGGCGGTCCCCTCCTGTCGTTTGCCCGTCTGAAGGAACTGCCACCCCGCACACGCTCTTCCTGCCTGATTGCTAAGCTGGTCGTTTACAGACATGGGATCCACACCAGGTGCAAGGTTAATTTGGCCCTCAATTGCTTGCTGAAGCAGTCTGCCGCCTCATGCCGCCTCCCCTCTCAAGATGGGAGCGGAGACTAGCGTGCGTTGCCATGTGCGGGAGCTATCGCTGACGGTGGAGACCAGAGGGCGATACCTGCCATTCGGCGGCAGTGACTTGGTGGATTGCCCAGCATACTGCGGGGTATTGTTTGGCGAGAAGACAGCTGGTGGTCTGTGGTGTGATTCTGGCCAAAGGAGATGGGCGGTGTGTCATGCGGGCGGGGTTATTGGGTATGCAGGACTCCATTATAAGCTGCCCATCACACGGATGCGCCGGTGCCTCAGCAGCAGACTTAACACCTTCCCTTTCTCTATGATGCTGGAAATGTCCCGGCACTTCCTAGCCCCACTGGTGGGGTGAATAGTGCATATCAGTGATCCACAGATGGCTGACGGCCATGAAGCATAGATGCAGCCGGTCCCGTCGCCGGCAGTTCCCTAGGAACTGCTGTGCAGTATGGGTTAAGACTCCGGTGGAGGGGAACAAAGTGGATTATGGCAGCACGTGCCCGTCCCTTCGATCAGCATATGCCCCGGATAGGAGGGACGGCCACGTGCTGCCATAATCCACTTTATTACCCTCCACCGGAGTCTTAACCCATACTGCACAGCAGTTCCTAGGGAACCGCCGGCGATGGGACCGGCTGCATCTATGCTTCATGGCCGTCAGCCATCTGTGGATCACTGATATGCACTATTCACCCCACCAGTGGAGCTAGGAAGTGGCGGGACAATTCGAGCATCAGATGAGAAAGTTTTGGGGGGGGTAAATCTGCTGCTGAGGCAATGGCGCAGTTGTGCGATTGGAAGCTTATAAAGGAGTCCTGCATAGCGGATAATCACGCCCACATGACACACCGCCTATCCCCTGGCCAGAATCACACCACGGACCACCAGCTGTCTCCTCGCCAAACAACACCTCGCAGTATGCTGGGCAACTCACCCTGTCACTGCCGCTGAATGGCAGGGTATCGCCCTCTGGTCTCCACTGTCGAAGATAGCCCCCAAACATGGCCAAACGCGCCGCATCCGCTCCCATCTTGAGAGGGGAGGCGGCATGAGGCGGCAGACTGCTTCAGCAAGCAATTGAGGGCCAAATTAACCTTGCACCTGGTGTGGATCCCATTTCTGTAAACGACCAGCTTAGAAATCCGGCAGGGAGAGCGTGTGCGGGGTGGCAGTTCCTTCAGACGGGCAAACGACAGGAGGGGACCGCCCCTCCTCTGGCACCCCTCCTTGTGTCGCTGGAGGCCTCAACGGGGGGACGCCCCGGGCACGACCAACAGTTGCAGGCAGTACTCCATCTACCTTTCACTCGATACTTTACCCTTACAATGATATTTAGACACAACAATGTGCCGCGTGCGGCGCGTTCGCACCCCGACGGGACTTGCCATGTCCCTGTAAAGTTCGAAAATCTATCAACCAAACGAAGGGGTCTCGCAAGGCGAACAAGCACTTGAAGTCACAGGAAAAGCTTTTTCAGCAATGCTTGAGGGTAACATGTTATTTGAAGTGCGAGTTGTGACTTGTCCCAGGGGGGCGATAATGTGGTGAAAGAACGGTACTCTGCTGATCGCGCAGCATGTGATGACACCGAAGTCCCCACCCAGATGCAACTAATCGTCCTTCTGGGAAAGCAGCACACACGCTGCACAGGACATGAAGAGGAGCCACGAGCCGTTACTAACTAGTCTTTAATCGCCTGATCAGAGTGCGAGCAGCTCATGAAGGATTGACATTGTTGTGTGCAAGTGTTTGGGTCCCTCCACCTACAACTTCCAAGAGGGACAATCCTCAACCTCGATGACTTGGTCAATCATCACAGGAGCGCATATGACATCCAATCTCCCTTCAATGGTACATCAATTTCGACTAAAACTAACTTATAAGGCCTCATGGGGCACGGGCCGACCCAGACCTCCCATTAGGCTGGGACTCTGGTGATGCTCTTACATCAACAACCTCTTTATTTATCTTGCCCGGCTGACACAAACACTGTTGCTCTTCTCCCTGCCAGAGTCAGTGTTGCTTTATTGCTGTGACCCGATGAATGCAATCTTGGAGTTACCTACATCGGAAGTTGGATCGCCTGTGAGGACAATGTGGAGCATTTGCCCAAGCAACCCTCTCTTACTGGAAAGAGTTGTTCTCTGTGTATAATATATAGTGAGAGCTTCTACTTACCTCGCTTGATGCAATTTGCTGAGCGTACTGGAGCTGTGGTTTTGTTGTACAAATAGTACTAATTATTCCAGCATGGCTAGTCTAAGATTCAGTCTTGTGCTCGCCTAACAGTCCCTCCGACATGCAGCTATTGTGCAGCACATCCCGTGTGCATCCTTCGGTCGTGCCAAAGGCCTCGACGACGACTGGCAGATGTCTGAAATCTGAAGACCACCGTTGCGTACCTGAAAAACTAGGAAAGGGAGAGCTGGGGTCCGCTCGGACCCCGACCCCCTCGTACACATACGTCCCTGTACAGCCGTAACGAGCTTACCGGAGTGAGGCGGTCATGGAATTGCGTCTAGAGGGATATGATTGTAATGTTTTGTTGACGCGTTTGGCTCGACAAAAGTCTGCGAGGATCGGCGAGGCACGTAGGTCCATGCTCCGACGTGGCTCGGCCAACCCAACGGCCGTCTGCCTGGCAATGGTACTCCTGTGCCTCAGACCCGCCACAGGTATGGTCTCCTGTGCATTAGAAAGACTCGGACATACCTGTCGGGCGGGGGTAAGGGGCGAGCTGCCGCGCGCGAGGCCGCTTATGTGCCTGTTCCGAGGCCCGCGGAGGTGCTCTTCCTGATCGAATCGTCGTTTTCATCCCTCCCTGCCCTCCCATCGTTCCACGCTCGCCTCCCAGGCGCAGTGGTGGGGCAGGCGGCCCCAGTATCCGAGGAGGGCGAGGTGCTGCAGTTTTGCAACACCACGGCACCCCCCCTCCTCGCCTCCACCAGCTCCAAGCAGGACTTGATCGGGCCGCTGCTCCATGTCGCCATCTCCACCTCCATCGTGGGGTACCACAGTTTTGGCTGGGCCGATTCTGGCCGCCCCACCCTCCTCCTCATCCACGGCTTTGGCCAGTCACTGGACATGTGGGATGTGAGGCTGCTGGAGCCTCTGGCCCGAGAGCAGAGGGTCATCATCTTTGACACCCGGGGCGTCGGCGCGACCGAGGCAAGTGGAGGACTTTGGGGACATTGAGTCCGGGCACCGAGGGTCTGGCGCATCTGTCCCTGGGGGAAGAATGTCGGCTGTGACCCTGCCTGGTCACAGATCTCCCTGGAAGAAATGCCTCAAATACCACACAGTCCCCCTTTCCCTCGCTACAATGTGCAGGACCTCAACATTAGCAGTCCGCTGACCATTCAAAGCATGGCAGAGGACACCGTGGAGTTTATACAGGTATGTCTCATTGCTGTGAACGCCAGACCTTGATCCCTTTGGCTGGCAATTCTGGTGACAGATCTCCCTGGCCCATCAGCGCAGCCAGTCCAAACCCCGAGGCCCGCCAACCCCCACCTTCCTCCCCAACATGACCCCTTCCAGGCGTTACAGCTGCCCCTACCCCCCAACCTGATGGGTGTGTCGATGGGCGGCTTCATCGCCATCGCCGTGGCAGCGCTGCACGGTGACGCCATCCACAGAGCCATCCCCATATCGGCCAGCGCTGGGAGTCTGGGTTCGGAGCCCCCCACCGACAAGGGCCTCAGCATTGTCGCCCAGCCGGAGAGGAGGCCCCTGGACATGCTCAGCCTGTTCTACCCCCTGAACACGACACGGGGTGAGGCTGAGGCTGGGGTGGACTCTAAAGGGTCAGCGCTGGTAGGCGCTGCCATCTCCTCATGGGAGATGCCCAGCCTGGGGATGCAGGCGATTGAAACCGTCCCCCCTTCCCATCCCAGCACCCCGTCACCCACACCAACACTCCTGCTCAGGTGCAAAGGCAGCATGTGATTCCGCCTTTCAGAGCCTGTACATGCTGGCGGAGGCCACCATCACGGAGGCCTATGGGCGCCAGGCCCTGGCCATCCTGCACTATGTAGGCCTGGGGTGTGCTTGGGTAAAGTCATGAAGGCTGTGTGAGGGGCCTGGGACTCGCATGACCCTAGCAATCCGATGGTGATATACAATCGCCCATCGTGCCAGGACATTCCCCACCCACCCCTTCTCTACACTTGCGCCCTCCTGGTCCACAGTTCAATGTGGAGACGGCGGTGTGGGATGCCCTGCCGCTTGTGAGGAACCCCGTTCTGCTGATTGCGGGGCAGTACGACATCCTGGTGCCGGCGCAGTCCTCGCGGGCCATGGCTGCACGCCTCCCTGCCCCCTGGCTGGTCGTCATACCGGAAGCAGGGCACGGGGTGGCGTCCCAGTGCAGGGACACTGTGCTGGACCTCGTGGATGCCTTCCTGGGCTCCCCTGATCTGTAGGCCAGGGTGCAAGAGGGGTGGCGGGCAACGGCGCCCCACATGGCACCGCTTTTTATTCTCAGGTTGGACCTTCCTCCATGCAAATATGAGGGAGTGGGCCTTGTCTCTGGTCCATTCATACCACATCCCTACACTTGCTTTCAGGACTGTAGGTACTTCTTCTCGTGTCATTGACAGACCTCGAGCACGAATCTCTATTTGCAGACCTTGCACTGACTAATAATCGAATGGGAGCACTGCCCCTCCACCTGCTTTGTATAGATTCTGTTTTGCACTAGATTGCACTTGCACTCATGCTCTCCTCGCCACTGGTTGAAGCACACCACCCGACGGCTCAGTGCTGTGCTCTGCTCTAGGTTGCCATTGTCCACCCTTGCCTCGCTTCCCTCCCTACTGGCTTGCTCTATTTTGCCCAAACAACTATGGTACTGTAGTCTGTCATCTCCAGACAATTGGGAAACAGGTGCCGATGTGTTGGGCTGCTAAGTTTTGAGCTGTTTACACTTCATGCCTCCCTCAAAGAAAAGACGGGATTCTCCGCGCGTTTTGCGCAGCGCGAGTGAATCGAATACTATGACGGACCGCAGCAAGCCGAAGTCCATGCGAGAGCTCCCATTCTACGGAACCAATCATCCTCTTATTTCTCTAATGTCCTGCCTCTGCTGATGAACCTGACAGAGACGCCGGCGCATGCGTCCCAGTCGCTCTGGCCATGGCCTCCGAATATTCCTGGCGCTAGGGTTTCTCCTCCACCGTAGCGCGCATGCCGGTGAGAATGGGAATCATTCTTGATCAGCTTCTTGCAGATACTTAGCTTCTGAAGAGCGCTATGCCGGTGCCTTCGCAAACTCGACTGTGGTGGATTCCTTCGGCTTCCGTGTCTATCGAAGCTAGCATGCCCATGTAATTTTTTGTGGCAAATGAACCGCTTCAGCAACCCCACCATGCCTGACTGCCAACCTTTTGCCTCATTCGCCCCCAAAAATCCTGCAGAGATCGGTGGATTCAAAGGCCCTGACCCTGAGGTTCTGGACTTCTGCAATGCAACCGAGGATGATCAGGCCGTGAGGGTGGAGGCCGAATCAGACTTTCATGGCCCCTTGATGATCGCGGAAATATCCAACGCTACCATCGGCTACTTCCGATTTGGTGATCAGACCACAGGGCGGCCACCCCTCCTGGTGTTTGCTCCCTTTGGATACACGATGGGGGACATGCCCAGACCTGCCATGCGGTCTCTTGCTGCCCATCAGGAAGTCATCCTGTTCGATCATCGAGGCCAGGGTTTTTCCACGGCGAGTATTATACCAGAAGGGAAGGGGGTGCAGTGTACGGCTGTATGTCGGGCTGCTGTTTAAACAGTTGATTGAGGAGCCAACAGTCTCCAGTGCCAAGAGTAGCAATACTTTGCCTGTGATATGCCGCTGGTTGCCATACTCTTGCCACGGTCCTTAGTCTCACCTTCCATCCCTCATGTTGACAGGACTACTCCAATGACTCACCCAGCATAGTAAGCATGGCAAATGATGCCATGGAGCTTGTGGAGGTGAGTCCGATGATATGAAAGTCCTTTGCTGCTTGCAGCCTGTTGTTTGCCATCCTCGTATTATACCAACACCCCACCGCTAAGGGGCCGTTCCCAACGCTGCCCAACCGCAGGCGTTGCATCTGAGCACCAAGCCCAACGTGCTCAGCTTCTCTTTGGGTTCCTGTGTGGCGCTGGCGGTTGCTGTGCTGCATGGTCCATCCTTTGCCAGCTTCGTCATAGCCTCGGGGAGCGCAGGCAGCCCCAACTCCCCACCTGCCACGGCTTGGGCGCAGTCTGTGCTCCTGGACCCAGAGGCACGGCCGCTCGAGCAGCTGGCCATCGTGTATCCGCTGCAGTACCAGTCTGGTGAGGTGCTTGTAGGAGGAGTATGAGCGGCTTTGCACCCCCATGATGGCCCAGTAGCTGTCTCTTGGAGGCATCGATATGCACAGTATGGGCCTTCCACACCCCCTCAACCACGAATCGCCCTGATTATGCTCATACCCAATTTCCGTGCGCAGCCGCTCAGGCTGCATGCGACTGGTACCTGAACGCAGATCCCCTGGCCCCAGACCCCTACAACTTCACCACTGCATCTCGCCAAGCATTTGCATTGGTTGAATTTGTGAGGAAACTGGGCAGGGTAACCTCACTATGGGGAATTGCCTCACCTTTAAAAGGCAGCTGTACCCCTGCGATGGGGACATGACGCTAGCTTTCAGGATTTGCCTTGGCCAGCCACAATGCCTGCGGTCGTGCCCATTGATCATGCCAGGCACTCCCCCCCCCCTCCGCACAGTTCCTGTCGGAGACCAGGGTATGGGACGGCCTCCCAGGCGTGAAGAACAGCCTCCTGCTGATGGGAGGCGAGGAGGATGTCGTCATGCCCGTCGACTCCCAGAAGCTCGTCGCAGCAAGGGCTGCGAGAGCCTGGTCCATCGTTTTCAAGGAGGCGGGGCACACAGCGGTCCTCCAGTTCCCAGAGGTGGCCTTTGCCATCATGGAACAATTTCTCACTTTTGAGAGCAGTCTTGGCTAGAGGCTTAGCTAAAACTGACAATTAATCTTCAGTGTCTGTTTGCATCCATGCGAAAGGAGTTCAGGTTCCGTTTGATTGTAATGTGCGATTCAAACTTTTGTGGACATATCGAAAGGAGGCGCAGAATTGTCGCCAAAAGATATCCCGAATCACACCTCATGACTGACCGAGTTCAGCCACTAGCATGTGATCGAAGGTGAGAGCCTGAACACTGCATGTGATTGATGGTCTCGATGTGCAGCAGATTTATCGAGGCCAGGCAGATCTCCGGTCACGTGTTGGCGGAATCGCCCTTGCCGAATCGACGTACTCGCATCGATTTTGGTCCGAATGAAGACGTTTACTCCTCGGTGCATCCCTCGCTGAACCCAATTCGTGTTTGGCCCTCAGACCTGGCAGCGGAGGCCCAGCATGTGTCCCTGTCTCTTTCGCCATACCTGCCGAATATTCATGGCGGTAGGGTTGATACTTCACACCGGAGCGCACGCTGGTAGGGACTAAACTTACCTTAATGACAAAGAGACCGCGCTCTTGCATTCCCAACTTTCAACTCGGCCTCTGTTGCCCAAGCCCCCGTGGTGGGGCCATCCAGCCACCGTAGCGTAATTCTTTCCGTACATGTAGCGGTCTTGCTGTCATCCCAGGCACATTACGCACCAGAGCACACCAACAGAACTACCTGCATATTCTTGCCTCACTCAACCCGTTTCCCTCCTTGCAGACACTTATGGCCTCAGGGGTCCCGACCCTGAGGTCCTGGACTTCTGTAATGTGACGGAGGAGATAGCACCTGTGAGGGTAGCATCCTCTTCAGACTTCCATGGGCCCCTGATGCATGCAGAAATAACCAACGCACGCATGGCCTACTTCCGGTTCGGCAATCGGAACACCACTCGTCCTCCCCTTTTGGTTTTTGCTCCGTTTGGGTTCACCATGGGGGACATGCCGACACCAGCCATGCTGGCTCTTGCAGCCAGGCAGGAGGTCATCTTGTTCGACCATCGAGGCCAGGGCCATTCTCTGGCAAGTTGCGAGAATTGATACATGGGGGTGTTCTGGTTTGCTGGTGTCGGCTACTCGTTGTGGGTGCCTGTATGAAAGAATTTTCATAGTTTAGGGCCACGATTTTCAATTCATGAAAAGCAATTCCCACTTGATGCCTCGGTTGCACTGTCCCACCAACAACATCAAGATCTGGTGGGCTCCTCCATCCATGTTGCAGGACTTTTCTTCTGAGGCTCTCAGCATCGTTGGGATGGCGAATGATGCGTTGGAGCTTGTGAAGGTCAGCGGGGGAGGGCTCGGGGCCTAGCGTGGCGGCTGTACAGCGTGCTGGTAGCTCGAATCGTTGCATTCCACGAAATCCAGTGGCCATGACACGCTCTCAGGATATGCACGCCCACAGGCGTTGAAGCTGAGCACCAAGCCCAATGTGTTGAGCATCTCCATGGGATCCTGCGTTGCCCTGGCAGCCGCCGTGCTGCATGGCTCCTCCTTCGCCAGCTTTGTCATGATTGCAGCAAGTGCTGGCAGCCCCAGCTCCCCAGCGGCCACCGCCTGGGCGCAGTCTGTGCTCCTGGACCCAGAGGCAAGGCCCATGGATCAGCTGGCCATCAACTATCCTCTGGAATACTCAAGGGGTGGGTCAGCGTGGCGGGGTGGGCGCCGAAGTCACCCAAGGTCCTCGTGCTCCGAGCAGCAGGGCAGCATAGAGGAAAGTGGCCGGTTGTTTTACATGAGCTAATTGTTGTTTCCCACCCCTACTGCACAGCTGCCAAGGCGGCATGTGACGGGTACTTTCATTCGGCACCCCTGGGACCTGGACCCTACAACTTCACCACTGGCTCGCGACATTCCTACGCCCTGGTTGAATATGTGAGGCCGGGGATGGATGACAGTAAGAAAGTAGGAGTATATTGCATGGACAGGCTGGAAGTGAGCATACTTGGAGACCTGATCCATTGTCAAGGATTGGGTGGTTAGAGGGCTCCGATGTACACATACGAGGCATATACTTCACTCACGCTCATTGAGCCCCTTGCGCATACATTCCCGACTTGCGATCAGTTCTTGATGGAGACACGCGTTTGGGATGGCTTGCCCTCCGTCACGAACAGCCTGCTGCTGCTGGGAGGCGAGGAGGACCTGGTCATGCCCATCCAGTCCCAGAGGCTCATCGCAGCACGGGCCCCGAGGGCCTGGTCCATTGTTCTTCCAGAGGCAGGGCACTCTGCAATTCTCCAGTACCCAGAGGTCTCCTTTGCCATCATGGAGCAGTTTTTCACTCTTGCAGGCAGCCTTTGAGGCTGCAGTTATGCAGACCCCTGGTTGAGGATCCAACTGTGTGATGAATTGAGTCTGCTGGATTGGATTACCATCTTGTGGATCTCATCGGTAGAGCACGAGGGGAATGGTGGTGAGTCAGCATCTCAGAGAGCATGTGGGCTTCCCCAGCTGACATGCTACTTTCGGAGGGCTCCCAGCGTGGCACACACACATCCCATCGAGAACCTGTCGGGAACAAAACACACACGGCATGGATCAGTCACCACTGCAAGGAAGAGATGCCCTGGTCCCGCTGACCCCAGCACAGTCACCCTTGTTGCCATGTGTACCACGGCAATGGACGGGGCTGTGGTGATGTAATCGCCTGCTCAGGCCCGGTGCACTCACGACATGCGCGTGTCTCCAATGAGTCCAAAGTTCGGCAAGGTGATGCCCGTCCGTGGCTGCGATGGCGTGCTGCTCCGAACAGGCTGACCAGGGCTGCCGAGCTTCCGTGCCGTGCGCCCGTGGAGCGCTGTCCCCCCGGCAAGCCTGTGATGGATGCTGCATCGCGTCGACCTCCCACCCATGCAGGTTGCCAGCAGGCCCATCGCCCCGGTCGCCCGGTACAACCCCATGGTCAGCGGGCAGCCTGGGGCCCCGGCCCCTCTCTCGCCCAGTGCCAGTGGCCATGCCCTCGTGTTGCCGGTCCCCAGGGACAATGGCACCGCTTCGATCAGCCCGGAGGACATGGCCGACTTTGAGGCGGCCACCAACTTTGTCCGTGCCTTGTTGCATGACAAGTTTTGCAAGGGGTTGGTGAGGTGAGCCGGGTGAGGGAGGAGCCCGCGAGGGGCCCGTGGCGGCCGTCTGGGAGCAGCATGCCGCCCGTTCCCCCCCCCCACACCCCCGCCACGCCCTGTCCCCATTCCAGGAACGTGGAGAACTTGTGCCCGTCTGTGCACAAGGCACTGCGGGCCGTGGACGGGGCCATGTCGCGCATCCTGGCACGCCATGTGGGTGTAGGGTGCGGGGCCCATGCATTGGTGTGCAGTGGCGGGCATGATGATCACGGCGCCCGGCGGCCCAGGTCCGCACACGGTCCCCGCACCAGCGCCGGCCCCGGCCCCGCTCGCTCACGCTGCTTCCTCCCCTCCCCCCCCTGTCCCCCTTCCCAGGGGCTGCAGGCGTTCCCGCTGCAGGGCAAGGCCGCCACCGTCCCCGGCGGCGTCCCCAACCCCCTCTTGGCAGTGCCAGATGACGTGCGGGAGAGGCTGTACCGCAACATGCACCGCCTGCGCGCGGTGGCCAACAAGCTGCCCTCGCCCTTCCCGCCCGCCCTGCGGGCGTGCGCCGCCCTCGCGGTCTCACTCCTGCGCCAGAACTTCTTCACCCAGGGCCAGGCGCGCATCCTGCTGCCGCTCTGGGAGGGCGAGGCCGGCCAGGGGGGGCTGGAGCCGGACAGCACGACCAGCCCCGACCCGGGGCCGGCGGCATCCGCAGTCAAGGGGTCCGGGAAGGGGAACTCGGGCCCAGCAGAGACCGCAGGGAGGCCCGCCGATGCCGACCAGGGAGCCCCCACGCAGGACCAGCCAGGCGTCGGGCGGGGGTCGGGCGGCAGGCCGCCCCTGCCCCCGCAGCAGGAGCGGTGGCGGATGCAGGGGCAGGCACCGCTTGCCTCCTGCGCTGTGTCTGGCAGGGAGAGGGACGCGGACCTGGCGGAGGCTGCAGGCCAGCCGGGGCCCAGCTTCGTGCTGCCCATCGATCCGCGCCGGGCGCCGGCGGCAGGCCGAAAGGGGGCCCGGGGCCCGAGTGCAGTCGCGAGTGCCCCTCACATTCCCGACAGGGTCGCATCCGGTACCGGGGCCGACCCCAGACAGACCAGGGTGAACTCGAGGGAACCCCCGGCGACCATGGCCCAGGCGCCGCAGAGCGGTGCAGGGCAGGGCGCGGGCACGCCCGCCTTGGCGGCACGGGAAGCGGGTTCTGTGCCTGAGAAGAGGCCCGTGGGGATGGAGGGGTTCGGTGCGGCGGCCATGCCCGCGCGTCGTCCGGCGGCGCACCCTGCGGCCCCGCAGCCCGCAGGTGATCCCACGGAGCGCTGCCCGACCCCGCCCGGCGTGGCGAGGCCCGGTGAGGCTGTGCTGCAGAGCGTCCAGCCACAGGCGGCCCAGAACCTGCTGCGGTGCGTGCGTGCAGGAGGGGCTCGACTGTGGGAAGGGGAGTTGGGGGTGCCGGCTTGGCCAAGGAGGATCATGGGCTTGGGTGTGGAGGTACAAGGTACCCGCATCGCGCAGGAGGGAGGGGAAGTCAGAGGCTGGGGTGCATCGACGCGCCCTCTCCTCGTGGACCCTTGTTCCTCCCCCGCGCTGCAGTGTACGCCCCCAACACCCCCCAACAACCAGGCGCGGCAAGTTGTCGCTAGTGCTGGACCTGGACCACACCCTGCTCAACAGCTGCACCTTTGCCGACGTGGACCAGCAGAGCGACCGCGACCTCCCGAGCCGCCTGCTGGCCCACCTACGCTGCGAGGCGGCGGCGCTGGGGGCGGAGGACCGCCAGCTCTTCCGCCTGGACGACGTGCAGGTTGGCAATTGACTTTTTGGAGGGATTGTTCAAGCTTTTGGCCGCTTCAGCTTCCATGCCCGCGCAGGCAGGTAGGGTGTGTCATGCCTCGACCCCTCCGCCCTCGGGACACCCCCGCCACGACTCCCCTTCCACCCAGGTATGGACCAAGCTGCGCCCCGGCGTCCGCGCTTTCCTTGCCGGTGCTGCCGAGCTGTTTGAGATGACAGTGCACACCAATGGTGCGGTCGGGGATTCACTCGGGCGGCGGATTGCGGAAGGGACGTGGTGGCGTGGCATGCATCACCTGGCGCTGGCACAGCGGCATGGCCGACACGATCCCTGTCCCCCCTTTCTTCCCCATGCATTCGCAGGGCGGCCAGACTATGCGGCCGCCGTGATGCACGTCCTGGACCCGGATGGCAAGTACTTTGGGTCGCGGGTGGTGGCTCAGGGCGGCGACTGCCTCAAGACGCTGGAGGAGGAGGTGGGGCTTTCTGGGGTGGGGCCCGACGGGGGCTCCAGCGAGGCAGCCGGGAGGGCTGGCGTTGTGGCGGCGTGGGTGGGCTTTCAGGGCCTCCAAGAGCTCCCTGTGCTCTGATGCGCACTCACATGCAATCGTGTGCCCTGGCTGGGTGTCGGGAAGGGATTGCGACGCCGCCAGCCGGGTGCCCAGTGATCCTGCCAGCTCACATACCCCCTAACCAACCCCCCTCTTCTCCCAACCTCCCCTCCCCCCTCCAAAAGGGCTTGGCGGGGCTGGACGCCGTGGCAGTCATCGTGGACGACAACCACACGGTGTGGCCCAGGAACGCCGCCAACCTGGTGGCGGTGGAGCAGTACCACTACTTCCCCTCCAGCCGCACGCGGCAGGGACTGCACGGACCCGCGCTGTTGGACCTCGCGAGGTGCCCTTGTTGTTGTCGTGTGTGCTTTCCTTTTTGGGGGAGGGGGGGTCCGCGAGGAATGGAGTGGCATGGGAGGACCGGGTGGGACGGGCGGCTGCGCGCCAGGGTTCCCATGTGCATTCTCTGGGGGTTAGCGGACAGAGGCCGCTGCCGGAGCGCTCCTCTGCCCCCCCACCGTCCCCCTGCCACACACCGCACGCAGGGATGAGTCGGTGGCCGGGGGCATGCTGGACGTGACCCTGGGCATCCTGCGCGATGTGCATGCCGCGTTCTGGGCGGCGCTGTGCGCGCCGCCCCGCGCGCCGCCCGCGGCCCCAGACGTGCGGCCCGTGCTGGCGGAGCGACGCCGCGCTGTGTTGGCCGGCGTGCGCCTGGTGTTCAGCCACGTCATCCCGTTGGGCGCCCCCGCCCCCTCCCACCCGCTCTGGGTGGGCGCCGAGCGCTTTGGGGCGCAGTGCTCCCTGGCCCTGGAGACCGGCAGCACCACGCACCTCTTGGCCGGCAACCCCGGCACGGAGAAGGTATGTGCATGGTGATTGGCGTGTGTATGGGTGGGAGAGAGGGGGGTCTCGCTGTGGAGCCACCCTCAAGCTCACAGTCTGGGCGAGAGAATCGCGACGACGTGACTTGACGCTTCCCGATTCCAAACGTGAGTCGCGCGAGTCGACCCAAAGTGCACGCCACCCCCGCCGCGGTCACCCAGGTAATCCAGGCGCGTGCGGCTGGGATCTGGGTGGTTACCCAGGGCTGGCTGGAGTGCTCGCAGGTGCTGTGGCGGCGCGCCGACGAGAGGCGCTTCGAGCTGCGCTGAGTGCCGTGTGGAGAGCCGCGGTGTTGTGGAGGCCTGGGGTCCCTGCAATCAGGGGCGGGGGTGTGCGTGGGTGACCCGAGGGCCAGCCTGCGGCGGATACTCACGGAATGGGAGGTGGGTCTGGTCCCCCTCTGCATCCCTGGGTAGTCCTGGAGCCAAGTAGCCGTCCTTGGGCACGACACAGCGTTTCAAGCCCGCGACTGTCGCGCCCGGAGGGCCGACAGCAGTGTGTGATCATCAAAAACCCTGGAACCTTTACTTGATGATGGGGACCTGCTTCCCTGGCGCATCGCGGCCTGCACGGCTGTGCGACGGTCCAGGTCCGGGGCCACAGTCGCACCTGTGACAGGTGCGTCCCTCTCCACCCGATCTCTCCGACAGCCAGAATGGCGTGTAGATGCAGGGTGACGGACAGGGATCAGGAAGGAGACCCCTCCACGTGCCGTGCGCTGAATCGCCATCAGGCGCAGTGGGGTCGCGATGTGGCTTTCCGGACGCATGCAGACTTTGGAGGACAAGAAAGGGGGCCTGACCCTCCATTACGTCATAATAATTTCACTCCTCTCGGAGAAACATGCAGTCCCTTGTGTGTGTACGCGCTCACATCGTAACAGAGAAACTTGAGCCATGGTGGAGGTGGAATTTGATCCGACCACCCGCACCACACTTCGCAATGGCAGTACATTGGGGCTGCATATCGTCGAGAAAGGGTTTCAAACAGGTGGCTTCCTGGCCTTGACCCTCTTTGTGCCCATCGCAGCCATCCGCGGCTACAGAGCGACGGGCACATGGGCGGTTCTCGGGGCGAAGGCGCTGGAGACTGGTGCCCGATCGGCAGCCATCACGACCCTCCTGACAGGTGGGTGCTTGAGGGTTTCGGAGGCCACGGAACCGGAGGGCGGTCGCACACATCATGATTCTTTCCGCTTCACGAGGCTTGAACGTCGAGACTCTTCACGCCTGCAGTCATCGCGGGCGCGGCGCGTGTTGCCACTTACGAAGACCTCAAGGTTGCTCTCGAGGATAGGGCGTACCGGCTGCACTACAACAAGCTACAGAATCGCACCGACCAGTTCTGCAGGGTGAGCCTGTGGTGCATGGATTGTCTCATTGTCGCACCGGAATCCATTTTCAGAACTGTTTTCCCGGCTGGATGGCAATGTCCCTGCCTAGAAAATTGCTGGGCTAATGTTCATGCCAGTCCAGCCTTTCTGAAAGACCCCTCCCTGCTCCCCAACAATCACCAACTCTTCAGGTGGGAGCTCTGGTCGGTGGTGCGGCTGCAGCTGCTCTGCAGCATGGTGATCCCCGACTCGCGCTTGGTGGGGCCGCCTTGGGGGCTGGGCTCGGCGTAGCCGTCCATCTCGCCACCAGTGCACCTTTTGCGAAGCAGGAGTGACGAATGCGGTACCTGCTTCTCAACACTTTGTCTACTTTCACCACGAATGGTGGGGTGCCACTCCTGTTTCAAGGATGCACTGCGCATGATATGATGATACAAGGATGCCGAGATTTACCCCGTCCTCTGTGGTAGAATGCTGCCCAGGCACACATTTCTGTGATACTGCACTGAAGAATTTACACACCAATCTGGATGATACTCTGTATCCCTCTTGCAGACTTGAGCTGTGACTTATTATACCCGATAACAAGGGCGATGCCATGTAGCTATCAGCAAGTAGAGTTGCAATTAGGTGACATCAGTGCAGGGGTGTGCAGAGCAGATCGTCCCCATACTAGGACAAGGATGCTCTGCATCGATTGTAAATTATTACTAGAAAACTTGTAAAATCCAGGGAGGCATGGTCACTACACCACTGCCGTCTCCCGGCCGCGCAACAGGTTTCGAGCCGCTGCACGGTAGCTGGGGTTTATTGTGAGGAAAGCCGCTTGCCAGAGCACCAGGCCAAGGACCTGATCCAGAGTGAACTTGAGGGCCACAGCTGTCCGGCTGCATGGCGGCGCAGTGGAGAGCATGTCTGTGTGAAAGGATGCCGCCCTATACTGGCCACCTACATGTCCCATCTCTTAACAGCTTGCTCCTACTCATCAGCCCTTTGCAGGTTTGTGCAAGACTCAACTTACCTCATCGGAGTGGCTGCCATGACGTGCTGCTCCATCCAACCCAGGAAGACATGCCCTGCCGGCCCGGCAACACAGAGTCCCGCCGCAGCCATGAGGGCGGTGCGCCTAGGGCTGTACCGAGTCATGGGCCTCGCCCTCGCCGCAGCCAGGTGCGTGAGGACATCACCGAACGCAAAACCGATGCCTGAAGTCACGCACTTGATCAGGAGGGGATGGCGCTGGTATAGGTGGGAACCCAGAGCAAGGGCCCTGCGAAGGGGGCCCCCTGACGAAGAATGCCCCATGCTCCCACCGTGCTGCATCGTGCAGCCCAGCAGTCTCCTAGTAAGCCGGCTCTTGAGTTTATAATGTGTTGTACAGGAGTATGCCTGCGCTTCTGGCGCTGCTTCTTACGCACGAGCAGCTCGGTCAGCTTGCAGGATTTCAGGGGTGATGCTAGCCAGAGGAGGATTGCCGCCTGGGCCGATTCACACCAGAGCGTTTCCCACACACTCTTATTCGAGTACTTCGTCAAATTCTTCGTGTACTCATGCTCGCGGCCCGCGATGGCGATTCGGGCATGTCGAGCGAATCCCCACCCTGCTGGATGAACCGGATCTGAAAATTTGAGTGGCGCGCGCAGCACGCAGAGCGGCCCCTTGCCTGAGATCGTAGATGCCTGAACCCGGGCCAAGCCTCCAGAGCGGGATGCATTGTATCAATTCCCCAATGACGAGAAGAATCGACATCACCATGTGTCCCGCGATCGGGGCTGAATAGACTTCGCACACTCGTGGGTGTCGAGCTGGAAGGCTGCACCCCCCACGCGAAGCGATCGCACTGCAAAGCACGGCCAAAGCTCCATACTTACAATCCAGGACCTATATTCGGGCAAGAGATTCTCATCCGAGGCTTAGCGTGGCTCCTGGGCGGCTGTGCTGGACCTCCAGAACGAGTTTTCAAAGCAGCAGCAGTGAGCGACAGCACAGACGGTGACAGAGATGCAGGACATCCGCGCATTCATGCGTGGTGGTGCCAAAGCCGCCTCAAAGGAGTCGGGTGCGTCAACAAGGGTGGCTGAATGTATGAGTATCCTGAATTTATGGATGCAGACACTGCTGTGGGCTCGCTCAAGCAGTTGGTCACACGTTTGTATATTCTTCTCCCTGCAGAGGAGATCAAGGCTGTACCAGACGCCGAGTCTGCAACCCCTGGCAAGTCAGGGCAGCCCGTCTCCCTCGACCTCACCTCCTCTCCCGGGCCGTCCCCTGGGAGGAAACGTAAAGCCCCTGCAACCAATGTGAGGACAACCTGACAGTGACTTGATTACTCAATCGTTGGCCAGGGCCTGGCGAGGCGCACAGGGGTACCTATCTTTGCTTCCTGTGGTCTCATGCAGTTCTTCCTCTCACTTGACCCTGTCCGCTCCTCGCTCAACTTGCAGAAGCGGGGGGCACCCGCAAAAAAGACTCAGGTGGTGTTGAGCGAATCGGATGGCGACGACGACTTCGAGCTGTCGCTCGCGAGTGACAGTGATTCTGAGGTGGCTGGGAAGCAGAAGAAGATGAGGGCCGCATCTAGGACTCCACCCTCAAAGCCTGCTGTGCATGCTACCCCACCCAAGAAACAGAAGGCCTCACCGTCTGCTCCAGAGGTGAGGGTTGCGGAAAGGAGCATGAGGCTGATCTGGCGCACCTGCTCGGCTACTCCTGCGCCGGCTCTCCCCCCTGTGGGTACCTGTCATCATGTCTTACCTCGTCGCCGCTCGCCCACCGCCAATGGCCTGCCCCGCCCAGGTCGCCTCTCCCAAGGCCAGGACGCCCACCGCCCGGGCGAAGATCCCAGGTCCCCTGGCAGGCTTGGACCCTGTGGCTGTGGAGGCCGTGGAGGCCGTTGACGCCGCCGCCAAGAAGCTGCCTCCAGAGGAGGCCCTGAAGCTGAGCTTCATGTCGGAGACCTCGTATGCGGCTCGAGCTCCCGACGAGCCCCCCAATGCCGGGACCAAGGTGAGGATATCCCAACAATTGCTTGGTGCTGGGCGCCATGGAGGTTCTCCAGCCCTTGGGCTGCAGAGAATGCGGTGGTCAGGCCTGCTGCGCATCAAGGATCAGCCAGCTTACCCTGTGCTTGATTTGGAATCCCATCTGCCCGATGCCCCGCCCTCCAGGCCATCCCCAAGGGCCACCCAGACTGCCTGACGGGCAAGACGTTTGTGATCAGTGGCGTGCTGGACTCGCTGAAACGTGAGGAGGCAGAGGATCTCATCCGGAGGCATGGCGGCAAGGTGTGTGGGGATGTGACGTGCTGTGGAGCCATGGTGGCTCTGGGCATTGGGAAGGAAGAGGGATGCGTGCGCCTTGGACTGAGCGCATGCATCTACTTTGCAGACGGTGCCCTGAGAATGGTGTTCTGCCCGAGAGAGGGCCTGTGCTGTTCGCCATACCCCGTCTCCAAAGGACCCCCATTCACAGTCCCTTCATCCCCACCCCCTCGCCTGCCAGGTTACCGGCAACGTCAGCGGCCGCACCTCCTTCCTGGTGATCGGTCAGTATGCTGGGCGGTCCAAGCACGCGGCTGCCCAGGCCAAGGGCACCCCTGTCATTGACGAGGGTGGGCTGCTGTCCCTGGTGGAAGCCACCGTGCACCTAGTCTCCCGGTCACCGGACACGGCGCGCGGCGCCGTGTCCGGCGCGGCCCCGAACGCTGCGGCGGCCGCTTCGGCCCCTGGGTCTGCCCCCGCGCCTGCGCCTCGTGGACTGGCGCCCCCTGCCACCACCCCACGCGCCGCCGTGGCGCTCCCCGCCCCCGCCGCCGACCAGTCGCTGTGGGTGGAGAAGTGGCGGCCCAAGACCACGGCGGAGCTCGTGGGCAATAACGGGCTGGTGGCCACCCTCCGCCAATGGCTGCGGGAGTGGGAGGCCGTCCACCTGCACGGCCGGGAGCCCTGCGGCGCTGCTGGCGCCAGGTCAGCGCAGTGGGGTTGCCATGCGCTGGCTGCAGGGAGCACTGGTCGTGCAAAGTGGGGCCATCGGGATGCCTCTGCACCCACCAGGGTTCCATGGCGTAAGGCTACCCCAGCGCCGGGCATGCCTGTCCGCACACGCCATCCTGGACTGCACCACGTGCAGGGGCAAGGGGGCTGCCGACCTGAAGAAGCGGGCGGTGCTGATCAGCGGTCCCCCCGGCATCGGCAAGACCACGGCCGCACTCTGCCTCTGCCGCGAGCTAGGCCTGCGGGCAGTGGAGGTGAACGCCAGCGACACCCGCTCCAAGGCCGACGCCTCGGCGCTCAAGGGCGTGGGGGGAAAGCTGGCCAACGCCATCAAGGAGCTGACCACCAATGCCGCGGTTTCCTACTCCACCACCGGCACTCGGGACAAGGTGCGGGGAAGGTTCTGGGGTAGAGTTGGGGTGGTGGAGGCGAAGCAAGGCGGGTCGCTGCGGCCGCATTCATTCAGGGAGATCATGCTGTGTGCTTCTTTGGGTGGCAGGGATAAGCCGGCAGCATGCCATTCAAGCATGCCCCTACGCACCAGCGCTTGCATGCGCCTCCACGCTGCTCCAGACCAATCCCCCCCCAAACTCCCTGCCACCTGCGTAGCTGTGCCTGATCATGGATGAGGTGGATGGCATGTCGGCGGGGGACCGCGGTGGGGTGGCCGACTTCATTCAGGTCCAGTCTGGCTGTTGGGCTTGGTTTGCCGGGGTTGCCCTGCCCCGTGTGCATCCATGCGATGGTTTCTGGGTGCCTGGCTGCACCGTTGGAAGAGATGAGGTGCCCACTGGGAGCACATAGGATGCCAAGGAGCTCTCTCATCAGCGGCCCGTTGCCCCCACTCCCCTGAGATGCTGACCAGCAGCAACCCTCCCGTACACCCTTGAAGCCCATCCCTGTCCCGCCACTGCCCGCCTTGCACAGACCATCCACAAGACGCGGACACCCATCATCGCCATCTGCAACGACAAGTACCACCCCAAGCTGAGGTCACTGCGCAACCACTGCCTGGAGCTGGAGTTCCGCAAGTGGGTGTGCTTGTGCAAATCAGTGTCACTCAGGCTGGCCATGGGGCGGGGACTTGCGACGCATGGGCGTACTCCATCCTGTGATCGCTCGCCTCACCAGCCCTTGCCACTGCCGGGCCCATTCCCCCTTTCCTTGACAAAACCTGCTTGCAGGCCAACCGTGCAGCAGATCACCAAGCGTGCGCAGGAGATCTGCAGGGCCGAGGGACTGGCCGTGAACGATGCTACGCTGGCCGCCCTAATTCAATCGGCAAACGGCGGCGACATCCGACTGATCGTGGGCCAGCTGCAGATGGTGCGACGGCGCTCCGCCAGCCTCTCCTACGACCAGGTGGGATGCCGGCTCGGGGTCTCTGACTGTGCGATCTGGGCGGAGGTTCAGTGCTGTGCACCGGTGAAGTCCAGCTCTTGGCTGGGAAGGAGCGTCGCCCTGCAGACTTGATGGTGTGTCTCCTGCATCGGGGGACAGCATCAGGGGAAGGCTCAGAGAAACTCACACCATCACCACCGCCAAACTGTACCCACTGTCCCATGCAACCTCGATATGCACCCGCCCCCAGGTCAAGACGGGAGGCATGGGGGCGTCCAAGGACCTGGAGATGTCCCCCTTCGAAGCCGGGCGCCGCTTGCTGGGATATGAGGGCGAAGGCCTGTCGCTCTCGTGCGTCGTGGGGATGTTTGGGATTGTATCAGGGTCAATTTGGCCACCTGTCATGATCACAACATGGCTGCAGGGCCTTGCCTCTCCCATTGGCCTTCCTTTCCAGCTGTTTGTGTGATGGTGGCTTGGACATGACCCCAGATGCATGTCAACTGCCGGCAGCGGCGGCTGCATCGCTTGCCCCTCACATGACCTGGTGTGCCGTGTGTGCATGCATCTCAACACACCCTTCTTCCAACACCCTCCAACCTGCTGCAGGGATCAAATGGACCTGGTCTTCCAGGACGCTGACCTGGTACCCCTCCTGGTCCAGGAGAACTACATAAACCACCGCCCCAAGATTGCCCAGAACGACACGATGCGCATGCAGGTCGGAGGGTGTGTGTGTGTGTGAGATTACGTGCCCTGAAGGGGTCGCAGCCGCCACTGTCACCGAGCAGTGTCACCCAAGGGTCTCCTCGCTCCCTCACCCCCCCTGCCATGCCCCCACAGATCATCGCCAAGGCAGCAGACGCCTTCTCCGCGGGCGACCTGGTGAACCGCAGGGTGCGGCAGACCCAGAACTGGGCACTGTCCCCCTTTGCAGTGGTCATGGGCACGATTTTCCCAGCCACCTACATGCGCGGTGGGCGGGAGGTGCTGGGCCTGTACCCCATGGAGCCCAACTTCCCGAGGTGGGGTCAGTTCATGGCGTGACCCCCAGGGCTCAGCAATGGCCAGGCGGGCATGTGATGGGCTGGCAGTGCCCCTGCTCTGCGAGCCCCATCTGCTTTGACACCTGGGGACAGGGTGTCAGAGGAGGTTCACATGGGAGAGTTCCATTCCTGCACTCCAGGCTCCCGTCCAGCAACGTTGGTAGCATGCTGAGGAGCCTGAGGCGTAGGCTGGCCGGGCTACTCTCATGCAGCCCATGCCTCAGCCGTCCCTGACAACCCACCCACCCCCATCAAAACCAGGTTCACTGCCTGGCTGGGCAACTTCTCCAGTTCCAACAAGCAGCGGCGCCTGCTGGGCGAGCTGCACACCCGGATGACGTCATCCGGGTCGCTGGAGTGCGACCGCACTGCGCTGCGCCTGGGCTACCTGCCCGTGCTGCGGAACACCCTGGTCCAGCCCCTGGCAAGGAAAGGAAAGGAGGGCATCGAGGAGGTGCTACACCAGATGGCAGACTACTCCCTGGCGCGGGAAGACATTGACTTCATCACGGGTGCAGTGTGTTCAGGGGTGGCTGCATCAGGGAGGTGGTGGTTCGGAGGAGGGAGTGGAGTGCTTGCTCCGCTCAGAGACTGGCAGACTTGCAGAGGTCTATGGTCGACATGATCCTGCGCTGGGCCGCAGTGCCAGGGAAGCACGTGCTGCCAAAGTCACACCCCCATACCGATCATAACCCAGATGTCACAAAGTGGAAGACCAAGGGGACGTGGGGCGAGGACCCCATGAAGCCCATCGAGACACAGGTGAGGTTGGGGTGGCAGGGAAGGTGGGGGAGAGGATGCTGCCAGCCAGCTGTATGAGGGCCCTGGTCTTCCTCAATCACACAATGCATCTGCAGCGGGGGCGCCATGCAGGCTGGGCGTGCTGCGCTGCATGCTTCGGCGTCTGCCCCTGGCAGAGCAGCTTGCCTGGCGCCTTGACGGCTGAACTCCCATTCTTTTTCCCTTGTGCAGGTGAAGTCTGCCTTTACCAGGGCCTTCAATGCGCAGCACCTACGCCCCAAGACCGGCTTCAAGATGGAAGGGGGGGTGAAGAAGAAGGGACGGGGCGGCGGCGCCTCCCTGGAGGGCGGAGCGGATGAGTTTGGTGCGCCGGGGTCTCGAGAGGGGGGGCCCGCCCCTGTCTCCTCGTCTACCAGGCTTCATGGGATACATCTCGACGGCTCAATGGTTGAATGGGAGAAGAGAGCATGCACGAGCATGAGTGGCTTTTGACTGTCGTGGACAACTTCTGGCTTACCTCTCTCCAACTTGAATTGTGCCAGGTGAGGAGGGCGAGGAGACCCAAGCTGGAGCGGAGGAGGAGGAGGAGGAGGAGCTTGACCCCGTAGTGATACAGCAAAAGGTGGGCCATGGAAGTTGATAGGGAATGGAATACAAGGGCGGTGCATCAGCATTCAACTAATGGTTTCCACCTCCATACAGCATCTTACCAGCCTTGGGAACGCTGCATAGTGTGGCCTGATGTCGCAAGGATCCTCCTTGTCCCCCTCCTCAATGGTCAAAGGATTATGGCTCTTTTCCTCTTTCTTCCCCACGCACCAATACGCCCTCATGTCATTGCAGTTGATGGCCATGAAGCACAAGGGCATGAGCCTGACCCTCAAAGATGGGTCCACGGCAGCGAGAAGCAGCGGGAAGGGCGGCAGAGGGAGGGGGAGTGGAGGCCGAAGCTCTGGCAAGGCGGCCTCTGGGAGGGGAGGGCGCGGGAAGAAGTGAGTCAAAATGGCCCATGCAAACTTGGTCGTGTAATGATCATGGCCACTGTCACCGCAATCCAGAGGCCGTTGTTGATTTTCATGGCCGATATGGAAATGGAAGAAGAGCTGCAGGCGGCGTTGACACTGCGTGAAGTGACGATGCTCATCCGGACAAATGCAAGGCCAGACAAGCCCGCCCCCACAGTCGGTTTAGCAGCGTCTCGTAGGTAGGGGCGGAAGTCATCATCATGTGAGTATCGGGTGGCTCCTGGGCGCCAAAATTTGAATACTAGATGCAGCACGCCATGCTGCGCGACCACGTGGGAGTTGGGAGGGAAGCAATCCGCCTTTGCAGGACGGGTGCACGTTGTGAGGAGGGCTGAGCGATGCTGAGACAATCGAATCTCTGAGGAGAGAATTTATTACCGAGTGCCCGGGGCAGACTCTGCTGTAAGATCGAGTCAGGAAGCTCGGGAAGCAATTACCGCATGTCACGCAATGCCCCAGTACCGCTTGATCGCCACCAATGATCGCGCAAAAGCCTTGATCGGCCCGCACGGCTGCGATATAGTGCTGTATGGCGACACTCGGATTGGCAGAGGGGTTGCGGGGCCCCAGACCTTCACGCTACCCGTTGACTGGCTGCAGTTCAGCACACGGCATTGCCGTGTATACAGCGCCGATGTGAGCTGATGGCGCATTCTGAGTCAAATCTGGCGTGCATGGTGGATGTGCATGCTTTGTGCCTTTTCGTTCACTCTGCTGAGATCCATCCATTCCACTGGCCCTTCCCCCAGGGAACCCATTGGCATGTGGAGGATACCTCCACAAATGGCACCTATGTGAATGATGTCCGCGTCCCCAAAAACGGTAGTCTCCCCCTTCCACTGGGTGCACGGCTGCGGCTGAGCAACATTGGGCTGCATGACCCAATCTTGGAGTAAGTGCGGGTGCAGACGGTGAAGGTGATACAGATTCTTGTCTTCATGGCCACAACCCATGTCCTGCCACACAAGGGGACCATGGCACTGGCTGCAATCACTCCATGCAGTATCCCCTCTCGAACCCAATAACAGGTTTGAGCTGAAGCGTTTTGAGGAGGCGCAGCCAGAGCCAGAAGCTGGCAGCGCGAAAGCCTTGCCGGGTGGCACCGGCATGAAACGCCATTCGCTCTCGCAGGCCATGGGGAGTGACCTGAAGAAGAAGTCGAGGCTGGAGGGCAGTCGTGGCAAGGGCGCATCTCCTTTGTCTGCCGGGCCTATTGAGAAGGAGGTCAGTCTTCGATGGGCACACCATGTCCACCGTTTGTCGAAATGATGGGGAGGATGAGGTGTCATGTGGCATTCCTGCACCCCTCAGCTGGCATGCAGCACCCGTGCGGCTGGCCTGGCAATCAGACAGGAAAGCGCCTGTGCCGCCAGGCAATGGTTTGGCAATGTGTCTGCTTACAGTCACCTTTGGTGCCCATCACCGCTCCGCATGACAGGAGCTGGCAGCTTCCCTGGCGAATGCACGCAAGGAGCTGAGGCAGTCCAACGAGCAGCTGCAGCAGGCAAGGCTGGCAGAGGCTCGGCTGGCCGCCCAGGTCACGCAGTTAAGGGTGCGCCGGTGGGGTTTGTATGCGGGCGCAGGCGGCCGGTCATACCAATTGTCTGCACCTCGCATCATGCCATGAACTTGTTCTGCATTCTGGACACCAAGAAAGAGCACGGACCGGAGTAATCCACTGAGTACACCGGCTGGGCTTTGTTCAGCTGGTAGGCAGCTGGGCCTCCCTACTCATCCTCCCTTCCATCCTGGCCCATTCCTACCTGCAGGCAGCCAAGACGGCGCTCATGGCCGCCGGGGCGACGCCTGCCAAGGCTGTGCAGGGTCTGGCGCGCCAGCAAGACGGCGACATAGAACCCGACCGCCACGCCGCTGAGGTGCAGGCCCTGATGCGGGAGGTGGAGGTCCTGAAGGCAGAGGTGGCACAAGCCCGGGAGGCCGCACAGACGGCCAACGCCGACGCAGCAGCTGCACGCGCGCAGGCGGCGGAGGCGGAGGAGGACCGGAGGAGTGCGTTGGCGGCTGCAGAGGCTGCAAAGGAGGCTGCTGCCGAGTCTAAGAGGACCGCAGAGGAGGCTGAGGCCCAGGCGTCGGCCTTCTCCATCAAGGCTCAGACGGCGGAGCACCTGGCTGGGCAGGCGAGGAGCGAGACCGATGCCGCCGTGGGCAAGGCCGCCAAGGCTGAGGAGGGAACGAAGGCGGCCACAGCCGAGGTGGAGCACTTGAAGCAGCAGCTGCAGTTGGCATCCGACACGGCGCTAGAAATGGTGAGGAGGTGTGAAGCAGGTGCTGGGTGCCCGAACCGCCACCCTGGCCCGACGTTTTGCTGATGATGTGGATCGAGGGGGGGGGGTGTCCCATGTGGTCGGCCACGGATGGCTGGGCTCGTGTAGGTTCCCTGGTAATGTCTCCCGTGGCTCCATCGTCGCTGCGAGATTCCTGTTGGTGGTCGCTTGCGACGCATCCCTGCCAGGGGCAGTCTGGTAGCCAGTCCCCTCACACTACCCCTATCCCCACAGTCACGCAACTCCGACACCAAGACGGGCCGATTACATGTGCAGCTGCGGCGAGAAACGGAAGCTCGTGCCGCTGCTGACGAAAAGGTTTGCGCCCTGGAGGCAGATCTCGCCGCTGCTGTGGCACTAGAGGAGGTGAGGGGCGTGGGGATGGAGTCGTGTGATGTGCCTAGCGTCCACGCTGATGAGCCCGTGAGTTTCCATGACGCTGCGTCGCCGCTCACCCTCTACCACCTGCTGCATGGAGTGTGGAGGTGGGTGCCTCCCTCAGTGGAGTCCATGCTGCAGCCTGGGCTGTGCATGCCATGCCGCACCCCTCCGATCCTCCCTGGTCCACCGACAGAAGGTAAAGGCGGAGGCCGAAGCGTGGCAGGGGCGTGCGGAGCAGGCAGTGCACGACCTCGCTGAGGCCAAGGCTCAGCATCGCGCCCTGATGGACAGTGCGGCGGCGCTGGCGCAGAGGCACACGACAATGGAGTACTGGGTCGCCGACATCGCCAAGAGCCTTTTGCAGACCCCCGCGGCCCTAGCGCGTCTGGCCGAAGCGCGCACAGCGTGCCTGCAGGTGCGTTGGGGGGCTGGTGGCATGCACCCGGCGCGTGGATGGGGAAGAAGCGGCCGCAGTTTGGGGGCATTGGCACACATGTGTGCGCCGCGTCTTCCTGTGCAGGGACTCACCCACCTGTCCCCCCGCACCCCCTTCACAGGCGCATGAGGGGGTCCAGAGCTCGCTGGCTGCCACGGCCGATCTGCTGGAGGGCTTGCGAGCCATTCCGGACCTCATCCAGGGCAAGGTCGGGGCAGTCGGCCCAAGCAGCAACCTCCCCTCGGTCCCCGATATGCCCATGCCGGGCACAACCCCCCAGCCATCGCCGCTGAAGCCCAGGGGAAGCCCTGGCGCCGCTAGCATGGGGAATGGGCCGAGGACTGCATCCTCAGAGCCTGCAGCATCGGCTGGTGTGCGCTCTGAGGCGGGCCTCGCGGCTGCGCCTGGGGGGCACTCTGTGGCAGGACAGCCACCGTGGAGCCCGCAGGCCACCCAGGGGCCGCCCATCGCCCGGGGCGCTGCAGCCCCGGTGGCAGTAGGGCAGCCCTCGCCGGCGCCGTTGGTGAGGCATTCCTCGCCGCAGTGCCTGGCGCACTCGCCATCCCAGCCGACGATGCAGCTGCACTCCCGGACACAGGCGCCGAGGTCGACGCAGACGCAGACGCAGGCGCCATCCCAGCTGGCGGCGCAGGAGCAGTCACAGCTGCGGGCGCTGGCACAGGCGCCGCTGGGGACGCAGGCCGCGTCGCAGCCGCAGGCTGCGTCGCAGGCATCCACGCCGGCGCAGCTGGCAACGCAGCCGCTGTCGCCACCGGCGATGCGGGCGCGGTCGCAGACGCCGACGAAGACGCTCTCCAGAGCAGGAACGCAAGCGTCGCAGCGTTCGCCGGTGCAGACGTCGCCCCCATCCGGTGCACGTCCAGACTCCCGGGTGCTGACGCAGAGGCAGCATCAGCCGGCTATGCCAACGCACTCCCAGCCGTTGTCGAAGATGCCTTCCCAGCAGTCGCAGCCGCCAGCGTCGCTGGGCCCGCCCTTACCCGGTATGCAGGGGGCCTCCCCGCCCCTTGCATCCCCGCCCGGCGGCAGCGTGGGTGAGTGATGTCCGAGGAGGCCACGCATGTATGCTGACAGTTGACAAAGCAGCACGCCCTGCATCGCCCAGTGGGCCCTGCGGTCGCGGTACTCCCGGCAGGACAGAGCATCATCATGCTGACGGGTCTCATTCTCCTTGTGGAACCCCATCCAGGGCAGGGTGAGGCCTTCAGCGTCCTGGAAGTGCTGCTGCCGACCCAAGCTCACACCCCCGCCGCGCCCCTGGCCCCTGGCCCGAGGACGTTCCTCTCCCAGGAGTCGAAGATCCCCGACGCACGTGCGCAGCCCAGAACACGCTATTGCTGCGGCAAGCATGCCACCTCCCCCAGCCACACCTTGTGAGCGTGCGCTGGCTGTGTGTGGCCGCTTGCTCATGTGGTGCTCGAGGATCTCAAAAGGGGGCAAAGCCGCAGTGAAGTGGAAAGGAGTGCATTGTTACCATCCTGAAACCTGCTGAGGTAGACGTTCCATGGCATGCGTGTGGTGCACAGGGATTGAGGTGAAACTGTTGCAAGGCTCGCATGCTCTGGGCACTCATGCCGCCATGGTTCATCAGGCCAGGGCGTGTGAAGTACCCTCCATGTCCATTTGGAAGGACTCGGCACCGAGACCCAGGCCTCGCACCATGCCTTGCACCTTGGCCAGCTTCCTCTGGGCCGTCAGAGTCTGGGCCGAGATCTGTACCCACTCAGACTCGTGCTGTTCCACAAACTCCATGACCTGGGACCGCATGCTGTTGGCGTGGGAAATGAGGAATCACTTGTATTGGTATGCACGCCATGCCACCCCCCCCTGTAGATTTCTGAGAGGATCGTCGACAGTTCCCCTCTCACGGCACTCCGAAAGTCACATAGGTGCGGGAGCGTGGTTCCTTACCCATCCATTCGTTCCAGGAAGCGGGCCTTGAGCTCGTCCAGCACGTGGCATGTATGACTCGACATGACCTCAATCTCGGCTAACAACGAAGCGGTTTCCATGTGCACCTTTGCCATGCCGTTGAGACACGTTTCTGTCATCTCCAGCACGACGTCGCGTTCCATGTCTGTCTGGCATGATTTTGGAGAGCTCGGATCTGAGTGGGAATCTACCCCAGGCGACACGATGCTCGGGCAGGGGGCATCCTCGTGAAGCATGATTCGCAGTTCGAAAATGAAATGTCAGTGCGCATCTGTGCAAATGATGTGTCAATGTGAAGGGAGAAAGTTTCGCAGGATGTCATGTTTGCCGGTGTCATGACGAGGGTTTCAAAATTAGAAAGTCTCGGGAGATTTTCCCGCGTACACGTCCGAAGGGTGAGGGTGTCGGGACTCCCGATGGGGGCCCCCGTTCCCAACGGCTGCCCCAGGAGCACCGTACTCAACACTGTTCTGTATCTTGGAGCATCACCATGGGTCGCTACTCCGGATCGAGCCGAGGGTACCACTCGGCCTTCCGGGGTAACAACGAGTCCTACTTTGAGGATTTGGAGTCGCTAACCAGGGCTTTGGTGGTTCACCCCGCTTATGTCCACACGCTCCAGCTGCGCCCTGTGGACTCGAGTGGCATGCAGACGCGGTGGGGCAAGCTGCCCTTGGAGGTGCTCCTCAACATCCTGTCGTTCCTCGACTCGCCTCGGGATCTGGCGAGGCTGGAGCTCGTTAATTCCTCCTGCAGGTGGGCTGGGTGTAGACGCCTTTCATCCCTGAGTGTAGAGCGGCCCGCTGTTCGTTCGACTCGAGTCTCTGTCCCTGGTCACGACCCAGGGTTCTGGCCAATGACAAGCACCTGTGGAGGAGGCTCTGCGTCAGAGACTTCAACGTCCCCTTGAACATTTCACCCTCGAGCTGGAAGGAACTGTACAGGTGATGGAGCATGTGGAGGATGTGCCAGGAGGATCTGGCTGGAGCTGGCACCCCCTCAACATTATGGATGCCTGTTGCAACCTTGTGCAACTCACCACAGCTTCATCGCACCCCCTTTACAGGTTCAATCGCAAGCTGCTCAAGAAGGTACTCGATTCCTCACCCAAAGAGACATCGCTGGGATTCTTTCGGGGCCCCATTGTCCTGCCCCTCCATCATTAGGTATTCCTTGGCCATCATTGGGTATGCATGCTGTTGGCGCCTGCTCATCTCATTACCCCCCATTTTCCTCCACACTGATCAATAAGCCCTGTATCTAATTGTAGCATGGATTGGCAGTCCAGGTATGTAACAGCATAATCACCTGTAACAACAACTCACACCCTCGTCGACAAGCAGTGCATCCACTATCGAGTCCGCTTGGGGCGCGCGACAGTGTATTTTGCAAGGGGAGACCTCAAAGCACGGATGACCATGCATGCAAGGCCTGGTTGATTACCATATTCATACTCGGCTGTTTTGAAGTTGTCGTGGCATCGTTCGAGGGGATGGCCTCGAGCATGTTGTGGCCACGCCTGGACGGCTGTACGAGGGTTCACATGCCGGCATCGCTGCTGGAGCAATAAGGAGGTTGTCCTCAGCACCATGCGCATACCCTTTTCACTGGAATTTACCAAGTGAGTGCACTGTATGCCGATGTCTCGCCTGCATGTGAGGAGGTGGTGCTCCTTGTGCAGCAGTATTATTGTGGCCTGGCCCTCTGAGTGGAGCATCGTGCCACACCCTCCAATCATGTGTCAGGTGGGAGGATGGGGTCAGGACCTCAAAGCGTTTGACAGCCGCTGATCGGTGGGAGGTCCACAGCGCGGATGAGGTGGCTCTGACCCTGGGCGAGATGCGCCTCCGCGTCATTCAGCAGGTCGATGTGGAGGAGCTCGGAAAGGGCTGGAGCGGTGCAGGCCTTGCTGCTCCAGGCCATGGGCCGCGTGCCAGTAAGAAGTACTTCCTTAACATCCTCTTCCAGCACCTGATTCCTCTCCCGTAACACCTGCATCGCCCCTCACACCAACCCAACCCCTGCACCTACACCCCGCAGCCATGGGCGCTGACGGCGCGCAAGGTCGGCGTGGGGGCCTGCCTCTGGGACGGAGCCCTGGTCCTGGCCGCCTACCTCCTCACCCTCCCCAGGCACCGCTTCCACGGCATGCGCTGCGTGGAGCTGGGCGCCGGGGTGGGCACACTGGGCCTCGTGGCCGCCGGGCTGGGCGCACAGGTCAGCGCGCAAGGGTCATGGGTGGGGAAGGCCGCAGTCGGGCGCATGCCAGACCTTGGAGAGGGAACGTGCTCTCTGGACAAGGTCCCCCGGTCTCAACAGGGGGTCTGGGGTGGGAGTGTGCACCTTCCCATCCCCTCAAGGCGCCACTCCTCTGCCGAATGTGCCCCCCACTTCCCTCCTCACCCCAGGTGACCATCACCGACATTGCCAAGGTCCTCCCGCTGCTCAAGGACAACCTGGCCGCCAATGGGTTTGGCCCGGAGGCACGGTGTGTGGCAAGAGAATGGAGTGCTGGGATTGCTGCAAAGTTGTCCCTTGGGGAGGAGGCGCTTGTACATTGGGTTTGGAGACCGCTCGTCCCACATCTTGCCGCCCTGAGAGCCCGCCCTGCTCATGCCCGTCACATTCCCAGCACACTCAACCCTGGGGCCCCCCCTCCCACACACACAGGCCGTCACATGAGGGCCAGGCCTGGGCCGAGGCCGGCATCCTGCACTGGGGCGCCCCGGGGTGGATGGATGGGGTACGCCTCCTGGCGGCCCCCCCGGGGGTCGACCTGGTGCTGGCGGCGGACTGCTGCTACATCGACCAGGACGGCGAGTCGCCCTCCACGCCCGCATTCGTGGAAACCTGCGCGGGCCTGTGTGGGCCTGACACCCTGGTCCTGGTCTCCTTTGAGCGGCGGTCGCCAGAGGTGGGGTACAAAGACGGGGGAGGCAGAGACAGGAGGGCCATCGGCTCATCATTGAGCTCATCTAAGTAACAAAGGGCAGGGGGCGGTGACGCCCACCTCCACCATGCCAGAGGGATCTGGTTTTGGGGGAAATGATGTTCCCGCTTTGAAACACTGCGGCACCCCTCCTGGACAGCCAGTGGCCAGATCACATGCCTCCAGAGCCTCGCTGCCACTCTCCTCGTCCCTCCCTTTTTGGACTCCAGGTCCGGCGATGCTTCCTGGAGGAGAGCAGGCGGCTCTTCTCTCGCGTGAGCATGGTCCCCCTCCGCGACATCCCCGAGCCCCTGCAGCTGGAGTACGTCGACATCTGGCAGCTCCAGCTTTGAGAATGCCTGGTGGAGTTCTGGTCGCCCAGTCTCCCACATTCCTTTGTCCTCAGTCGAGCAAGGCTGTGTGCTGTGTGTGGCCAGCAATGGGCAACACCCACATGATTTGCAAACCTCCGATAAGCATCCATGGCGGCGTGCGCCGGCTGGTGAGGGTGTGCAAGCATCCTGCAGCCGTCCCAAGATGTCAGGGCCCAGCATTCACTTTGACGCGCGGCAGCACCTCTGCATCCTCCACCGGACGGATGTATATGGAATCTGCCGGGTGTTCAATGTCACCCTGCGGCAGGGAGGAAGCATCAGAGGGCTGGGGGGGGGCAGCAGCTGGGGGGGCAGCAGCTGGCAATCATCAGGCCACCCCTGTGAGGAGAGTTCGCAGACCTGTACACATCTATCAGTCTGCCCGCTGCTAAGATTGAACGTAGGAGTCCCCAGGCTTAACATCAAGCTCCTAAACCCCAACCCCCATTCATCTCGTATCCAGCCCCCAAAGCCGCACGCTCGTCGCACCTTCTCAAAGGTGTAACTGGAGGCCACGGCCAGGAGGTTGCCGGCGAGGTTGAACGCCAGGGCGGCGATGGAGGTCGGGTACCCCGTGAACTGGGCCAGCCGCTTCTTGTGCTCGCCGTCCCAGATGCTCACCACACCGTCGCACCCTGCAGTCAGGACGGGGGCCCAGAGGTATGGTGAATTGACCCCGGAGTGGCAGAGCAACATCGACTGAGGCAATTTCCCGTCCCATTGCCCTCTGAAACCCGTGGACGCCCACACAGGCGGCTTGTCTTGTTCATAAGCACATGCTGTGCACATGCGACGACAGCAGCTACCCCATGCACAGCGTCCGCCCGCTCACCCCCCGTGGCAAAGGTGCCGTGTGTCTGGTGGAAGGCCAGGGTGTTGACCGGGAACACCACGTCCCGGCCCCCTTCGCTGGCACGGTGACACTTGAAGGCATACCGCTTGGCCTGCCGCACAGGATGGAAGGCACGGGATGTGAGACGTCAGCATGCAGGGATCAGCCAGCTGGGCAGGGCACTGGTCCGCGCATGCCAAGAGCCATGGCAGCGGCCCGGGCCCTCCTACCCACCTGCGCTCTCCTACCCACCTGCGCGTCGCCCAGGTCGAAGTACTCCATGGCCACCCGGCCCTCTATCGAGGCGGTGGCGAAGCCAGACCCGTCGGGGTACATGCGCACGCACCGCGTCTGGTGCTTGAGCGAGGACTCCCGGGCCTGCTCTGGCTCCACGCCGTTGGTGAGCCTGCGCTCCGGGTGTGGAGAGAGGGAAAGGGTGTGTAGGCAGGTTTTGGATGGGCATGAAGTGATCAGGTGAGCAGCTCACGTTTTGCCACCAGGGTCATGGAAGCAAGAGTCCACACCAACCACGCCAGACTCCTCTGATCAGGGCGGACCAAAGAGCATGTCAGATGTCCACACCCACAGCCCTCGCTGCCGCCGGCGCAGCACCGCAGGCTCACTTGGTGAGGTCAAACACGTGGATGTGTCGCCCAGCGGTCGCCACCACCAGCCTCTCCCGGCCCGCAGTCATGCTGAAGGCCTTGTCAGGCAGCTGCATCTCGGCGACAGGGTCATCTGACCCGGGGATTCGGGGGTCCCAGATCTTCAGCCTGGAGTCCCAGCCGGCCGAGGCCAGCAGCTGGAGGTCGGGCAGCCAGGTCAGGCACCGCACGGGTTCGCTGTGCGAGCCCAGCAGCGTCTGAGCCTGGCTCTCCCAGTCATGTCTACGGTGTTGAGAATTGAGCAGGAGGCGCAAGTGATTGAAGGTTGCACATAGGTAGTTATATGCGTTGGGCTCACATGTTATAGCTAGAAATCAATCTCATGTCATGCAGCAAGAAAAGATCCGCGCGCTTGGCGACGCATCCTTACCGCAGGATCCGGCCGTCCAGGCCTGCACTGTAAGACACAGACTCCGAGGCTGGACAGGCGTCAAGGATGGGGGCGCCGCGCTCATGTGTGCCTCGGAGCTCGCCTTGGTCCGCGGCATAGAGCCGCAGGGTCTGTTGGGGACCGGAAGAGAGGCTGGTTGTGTGCAGCTGTGGGTTTTACAGCGAACACGGATATGGAGTCACCAGTCCGGCGAGTTCGAGGTAGTACGATCCCCAACAGTCTATCGCTGTAACCCGCATCAAGCCGTCAACAACTCACAGAATCCCAGGAGGAGGCGAGCAGGAGGTTGCCGGAGTCCACAAAGTTGAGGGAGGTGATGCCGTCACCTGGCGGATCTGGTAGGGGGGTTCCCAGATTGGACATACCACCTGTATCGTACTCTAGAGCGGAGAGGTATACCTCCTTGAATCCTCGCCCCTCAGAAAGACTGTGGAGGGTGTGGCTGGCTAGTGAAGTGACGGGGACAGAAGTACTTTAGGCTCGCCTGGTGGGCGACTCCCTTGCTATTGATCAAATAAACTGCCAGACTAGCTCAGATGAAAACGGCACAATACATTGGCGAGGGTAACATGATCAGCGAGTGGGTCGTATTTTGCCGAGATGGCGCGATTGAAAACCGAGTGGCCATCGAGGCGCGGCTCATTCAACATCCGATGCCTCCCCCGTAGAAGTTCAGACAACACCCTTGCCCTCTTGAACCTGACCCTCACATCTGGTCCTGCCTTGCTTATCATTGTTTTTAACAACGTGTGCACGAGCCATGCGCTGCAGGACTCCATGATGCATCCACATGCCACCTCTGGGAGGCAGAGCCCGCTGCACACCCCACCACGTTCCTCCACGGTGTTGCCGTCCCCGGCAGCATCCAAGGGCTGCCGCATGCCTGCTGGGGTGCCCTACACGATGCCTGCGGGGAGGTGGATAATGCCCGTGCCCTCCGCATAACTCTTCACGTAGTAGTAACTGCGGCGCGTGAAGGTCAGGGGGGGGGGTGCGGGGTCGGGCCAGGGCATGGCTTGGGTGGGATGCAGCGACATCTCTTCATGAAAAGCTGGGCCCAAGGCCTTGCCCTGCGCAACCAAACTGCCAGACAGCGGCTGGCTCGCCCAAGGACGCAACCCCTCAGACCCCACTGCCCCGGCATGCGCAGCGACTGCTTCAGCACTGGACCCCTCCCACCCGCCCCTCCACCCACACCCACTCACCAGAAGTCGGCGAGGATGAAGGTCTGGACCACCTCGGAGACCAGGACCATGATGGGCCAGATGCCGGAGCCCAGCGCCTGCCAGAGGTACTTGTCGCCGTCCAGGATCTGGAGCACCCAGTGGGCGCAGGAGATGAAGCGCGACAGGCCCAGCGCGAAGACGTAGTGCGCGGTGAACTTCTCCACCACCTTGGCCTTCTGCATCATGCGCAGCTGGGGCAGCACCGACACCGCCTCCAGGTACACGCAGAAGGCCCACAGGATCTGGGAGGGTGGTGGGGAGGGACAGGAGGAGCGGGTGTGGGGATTGGGTTGAGGCGGGCCGTCTCGCGCGAGATTCAGGAAAAGGGAGATAAACCAGGGTTCTAAAACGGCCTGAGGCGTGATGCGGGGCCATGGCTTGCCGCAGTACAGTCGGCGCTGCGCACAGTCTTCTCTCGGTCGAGCTCACACAAAGCAGAACCCCTCCCCTGGCCTCTCGCCGGGGTGCCGAGGCTGGGCCGTGCGGGCCGGCGCTCTGTCTGTTTGTGGGCTGAAGGACCCCTCACACTGCTCGATCCCCCCTCCCACGCTTCCCTGCCACCGACACAATCCCCCCTCCCCTCAAAAACACACCCCTCCAAAACACACACACACTCAAAAACACTCCCTGTACCTTGAAGGCGTAGGCGTGGCGCGTGCCCGGGTGCGCCACCACGGCCAAGAGCAGGCAGGGCACCAGGATGATCAGCGGGTTCAGGCCATCCAGTTCGCGCTGGTACGACTCGCGCAGCGGGCCGCGCAGCGTGTACACCACCCAGCCCGTGGCCAGGAGGGTGAGCAGGTCCAGCAGGGTGTGGATGTCGTACTCCATCATGAAGGAGCAGAAGAGGCGGGTGGCCAGGAACAGCGCGGTCAGCTCCTGCGAGCGCAGCGACAGCCCGCCGCAGTTGCGCTTGCGGATGATCTTGTAGGCCAGCACACCGATGCCCAGGAAGTGCACGCCCTCCGACATGACAAACAGCGAGTCGTGGTCCTCGATCACAAACCACATGAGGAGCAGGACCTGTGTGTTGGATTGGGGTGGGGTTGTACTGTGCATGGGTAGCACTGGGTGAATGTCGCTGCAATGCATGCACTCGAGTGCATGACACAACCTCGCATAGACTGCAGGCCACCCATAGCATCGGGGGCATGCAGCTGGACAAGGAGGTGGGACTCCCACACCAGCCAGGGGAGCACTCGCAGGGGCCATGGGCGCGCCACTCACAACCACGGCAGCGCCAATGCCCAGGTACAGCTTCTCCTTGGAACTCCGCGTCTTAAACCATCTGCGGAGCGGGTGGGGGTGGTCATCGACGACAAGCCACAGCGATCACACTACGCGCATCCCACCAACACGCTGCCTCGAGGAGGTTCGCTGCACCTGGAGATTGTCAGTACCGGGTCCTTCGACTTTCCAGCATGTTTATCGTCCGCCTGGTAGGCTGCGTGGGGCGCCATCGGCTGGGCTGGCCGGTAGGTTGGACCACCGAAGCCATGCTGGGGGGCAGTTGGGGGTATGTACATGGCTGGTAGGGCCGGTGCTTGGGGCAGGGGATGCAATACCACGCACCAGAATGTCCGAGGGAGCACACGAAGCTACAGTGTTCGAGACAGGCGGGCCAATGCGCTGCGGAGTGTGGTTCCGGTAGATACTGCTGAGGGGTTCTCAGAGCGCGGGGCATGGGCGCAATCAGCGGGAGGCAAGCATTACTACACGGAGGCGAACCAGACACGTGAGAAACAGCGCAAATGGATTTAAACTGTGTTCGGTAAAACCTAGATATCGCATGCTGGCTCTGAGTGGGTGCGATGATCGACGAGGTGGGCACTACACAGAAGTGATCTTATGCGAGTCCTTCAGGAACCCTCGCGCCCCGCCGCTCCGTCATACATAATCTGAGTGCGTATGGCGTACAGCCTCATCAGTGGATTCTATGACTGGTGGACCCACCGAGAGCCCGTGCGCCTGCTCCTCATCGGCATCGATGACGTGAGTTGCCCACAGAAGATGGGACCGTGCACTGGCTGGTGTGGCAGCGTGCTGCCATTTTACTCGACTCATGCTCTCATCTCCAGCTCGGTCATGGCCCATTTTCACCTTCAAGTCTCGCCCACCCTCTTCCTAGGCGGGCAAGACCAGCGTGCTGGAGGCCCTGAAGGCGGCATGCGACCCCAGCGCTGGGTCAGTGGCGCCTGCAGCCATTCAGCCCACTGTGGGCCTCAACATCGGGAGCCTGGACCTGGCGGGGTCCCCGGTTACAGTGTGGGATCTGGGAGGCGCACCGGGGCTGCGCAGGATCTGGACCGAGTACTACGGGGAGGCACATGCCGTAGTCATGGTCGTGGATGCCAGCACCCCATCGCGATTCCAGGAGTCCAAGCACGCGCTCGACAGCGCACTCGGTGAGCAGGTTGGGGCAAGGGGTGTGTGCAACGAGGTGGGCCCCTCTCTGCATGAACTCTGTTTTCCACAGGCAGCAAAGAAACACCCTTTCCCTCTCGCTACTTAGGGTACAGCATGAATCTTGGCCCTGCTTCACGCATAGCCCCATCTCCCTGCAGGCACCCAAGAACTCTTCGATGCCCCCCTCCTACTGCTTGTGCACAAGCAGGATGCCAATGGGGCTTGCAGCCCCGAGGAGGTGGCTGCAGCCCTGGGAGTGCATGCTGGTGGGGAGGGGCGCCTTTGCCATGTGGCAGGGACTGCCACGAATGACCCCATGGGCGTGAAGAACGCCTTCTCCTGGGCTGTGAAGGTGTCGCTGACAGGGCCCAGGGCCACACTGCTTGCCAGCAGGGGCTGATGCTGGGCACCCTTGTGGCCATGTGCGGCAGGGACTGAGCCTATTGCAGGGCAGACCGCTTCCGTCACTACCTTCCCCCGCTGCCCTATAGCAGTATGCAGTGCTCTGTAATGCTGTCCTGTTTGCAATCCGCGGAACATTGATGCATTCCGGTCACCTTCGGGAGCTGTAAAACCACCCGTATTGCCCCCACGCCATGTATTGCCGCCAAAGCTTCGAAGGCGACGTCCTTCCTTAACGGAGTTGCGCGCGATTCTGAACAGCTTCCCTGGAGCAACCCGCTGCGGAGGACGTCTTGCCAAGACTCCACGATAAAATTACAACCTTTGCACCCTGAAATTTCGCCAGAACCGTACAGAGCGGCCCCAGAGAAGGCCAAACGCAGGCTGGAACCCTGGATAGGAGGCGCGCCCTTGTTCCTGGCACAGCCTCGTCTCCCGGTGGGCGCGACCCTGCTGACTGAACGCTGTGAGTGAATGAGGGATCTGGCCCTGCCATGCAGCCCGCTCGACTTGCGGAAATCCGGCGTGTCATGGACTTGCGTGCGGAGCGAGGCGTGTCCTCTCACGTCCGGTCCTGCGCAACGAGCTCACCGATCTCCGCCATCATCACCAGGACGCCATGACGGCCCCCTGATACCCCATCCCCGCGCGTCATTCCTGCGAGCGGACCGCGCCTCGCTCGCGCGTCCACCGACGACCCCCCCTTCCACCCGTTGGACATGAGCCCCATGGAGGGCCAGACGGGGGCACTGCCCCCCGACCCCGGCACGGGCCTCGCGCCGACCTACCACCCCACTGCTGCAGGCATGGCCACCTCGGGCCACCCTTCGGGCGGCTCCAGCGTGTCCGTGGGTGCCAGCCCCTGGTCCACCATGACCAGCACCCAGTCGGGGTATGTGGGCGTGCCCCAGCCCCAGCCGTCCCCCTTTGGCATGGGCGCCGTGCCAGGGCTGGGCCCCGACCCGGCCGCGGTGCCGGGGCTGGGCGTCCCCCACCATGCCACGGGCGGTTGGCCCTCGGGCGGGCAGCCCGTGCCAGCGGCCGCCTGGCAGGGCTTCCCCGCGCCTTACGTCGCCACGGCCCCCGCCCCGGGCCCGACGGTGGCGGCACAGCTTGGCGCCGGCCCCGCCATGTTCCATGCCGGCGCCCTCCACACGGGCCTGCACCCGGGCGTGGCGGCGGCCTACGGCGGGGTCTCGGCGCCACCGACGGCCGCGGCGTACCTGCAGCCCGGCCTGGGCGCGTTCCCGGGCCTGCCGGCGCAGCCCCCCTTCCCCGGCTTCCCCTCAGGCTTGGGCGGCTGGCCGGGCGTCCCCACCCACGCCTACCCCGGGTTCCCCGCCCCCGCCGCATACCCTGCGGCAGCCGGGCTGGCGCGGCCGCCCCTGGCCCCGCATGCAGCGGCCGCGCTCCCACCGGGCCACCCCACCTACGCCACGATGCAGGGCCTCCCCTCCGGCTCCGTCGCGCTGTCCACCCACGCGGAGCCAAGCACGAGCGTCGGCGGGCTGGCCGCGCGCGACCTGGACATCTCGAGGGCCTCGGCCCACTCCAACCCCTCCGTGGCCTCGCTGCGCTCTGATCTGCCTGCCCCCCTCGCGAGCAGCCCCCGCACCTCCGCCAGCTTCCAAGGTTCTCAGAGGGGGGGTGCTTGGGGTTTCTGGGGGTCAGCATGAGGGCGAAGCGCCAGCGACCCTGTGCCCTGCCCGGCGTGCTCGCCGCCCGTCTGTGTGCTGTTTCGTTGTCGCGAGCACCAAATGGCGGCACACCCTCGCTCAGACCACACCGCAGGCCTGGGGAGCGGCGTGTACGGGTCCATGACCCCGCTGTTTGCGGTGCCACAGGTGCAAGCATTCGGCGACGCGGCGGCGCAGCACCCGGCAGCTCCGCCGATGCCTCAGGCGCTGGGGCCTGCAAGTGTGTGGGGTTGGTGGGGTGAGTGGTGTGGGGAGGGCAGGGTGATTTTTTGCCCCCTCGCACCGACGACAAGGATTTGTTGGGAGCCCCAGCGGTGTATGCTCTCTTTTGGGAGGGGGAGAAGGGTGGGGGCCATGCTTTGAGACTGCCACTTCCTGCCGTCGCTGCAGGTCCAATGTCCCGCCCCCGCCCGCCCATGATGTCGGCAGCTTTCAGCCCACCTGGGCTTTGCCTGCCGCACACCGCCGCACTGATTGCCCCGTCCCCGGGACACGCCCCTCCCTCTCTTGTCCCCCCCCCCCAGCAGCGTACAGGGCCTTGCCTGCCCAATCTCACCTGCCCACTGCCCTACAACCTCCGCAGGCCACGCCCCGGGACTCTCCCAGCCCGTCCCCGGCGAGTACATAGCCCCCCATCGCCGGGGCGCAGGCCGCGCTGTCCCAGGCCACCGCCTCCCAGCAGCGGCTGACCGCCGCGCTGCACGCCGGCGGGGCGCAGATGGCCATGATTTCCGACCCCGCGGCCCAGGCGCTGGCCGCCGCGCAGCTGCAGTCGCTGGGCGCCGCGGCGGCCGAGGCGCGGCGCGAGGTGCTGGTGGCCACTGAGAAGCTGCTGCAGCTGCAGGCGGCGGCCGCCAGCGCGGCGGCCGCCGCCGGCGCGGCGCTGGGCGCCAGCGGTGGCTCGGGCGCGGGCGCCAGCGCGTCGCCGCCGGGCGTGCCTTTTTGGCCGGGAACGCTGGCCCCCATCGCCACGGGGATGGGGGCGCCGGCCTCGGCGCCGGCCTCGGCTCAGCTGTCGGCGGGGGGCGTTGGGGGTGGGTCGCCCCACCACAGCGTGCGCTCGCTGGGCGATCCGGGCCAGCTGCATGGCCTGCCGGGGCGGCCGCCCTCCTTCCCCGGCGTGGCGCCGGCGCCGGGCGTCGCGTCAGGCGGCTTGCCCCCCTTTGTGAGCGCCCATCCTCCGGCGGCGCCCTCCTCCCGCCTGCCGTCGGTGGGTTCCGTGAACGCCAGCGCCGCGCCGACGGGGACGACCACGGGCACGTCTGCCACGAGCGCGGGCCTGGGCTCCATCCCCTCCTGGCTCCTGCACGCTCAGACGGGGACGATGAAGGTGGTGGTGACCAGCGGCGGCGCCTTTGCGCGCCTCACCTCGGTCGAGTTCGACTACTCCGGCGGCGAGACGCGGCTGGTCACCGTCCCGGTCGGCTGCGACCTGTCCACGCTGCGCGAGACCTTGGCGCGCGTGACCCGCACCTCGGGCGCCTCGGCCGATAACGGCGCGGGGCGCAGCGGCGGCGAGGCCGGCGGCGCCCCGCACCGCGCCCCCGTGCTCAAGTACAAGCTGCCGTCGGACCCCTCGGTCTGGGTGGACATGCTGGACGACGAGGACGTGCAGATGATGTTCGACGAGTGGGCGGAGTTCACGGGCGGGCGGCGCAGCGCGGCGCGCATGCACATCTTCGTGGAGTGGCAGCGCCGCGGCACGGGCGCCTCGGCCGGCGAGGCCGGGGTCACGCTGTCGGGCTCGCGCTCGCTGCGCGTGTCGGCGGGCCTGGGCCGCGTGGAGACGGTGCGCGAGGTGGACGAGGACGCGAGCTCCGGGTCCATGGCGGCCGAGGCGCTGGCGGTGCAGGCCGCCATCGACAGCGAGGAGGGCGCGGTGGCGGCGGCGGCGGCCGCGCGCGCCGAGGGCGCCGGCAGCGGCACGCCCGCTCGCCGCGGCCGCCGCTCGCTGGACGTGCGCGCCATCATGGAGAAGATGGAGCTGATCATGGCGGAGGACGTGACCCTGGTGCGCTTCCTGGGGTCGGGCGGGTACGGCGACGTGTACCTGGGGCGCTGGCACTCCTGCGAGGTGGCGGTCAAGTGCCTGGCGCCCAGCCTCTTCTTCCAGGGCGGGGACACGGGGCGCGTGAACCGCGCCGCCATCGCCGACCTCATCCGCGAGGCCGACATGCTGGGGTCCATGCGCCACCCCAACATCGTCTGGGTGTACGGCCTGGTGCTGCCGGAGCTGGCGGGCGCGGCGGGCGGCGACGGCGCCACGCCCGGCGCGC